AACCAATGTGACACAGTATTTGGGGAGGAACCAAAACCAATGTGACACATGATTTTAGAAGGAACTAAAACTAGCATAGAGCCACCTGGGGATTAAATCTCATGTATAGCACAACAGCAGATGAGTAAGTCATAGCCTAATTTATGAACTGTAACTAACGAGGATCAACCATCAAAAGTAACTGAGAACATGATAAAGCTCCTAACTGCAATCAAGTCTGCGCCTGTACACAATACAGAATACACCTCTGCTACTGGGCGCTTGCTGCACTGTTAGAAAGCAATGTGCACATACATTTGCAGAGTACATATAGACAAATCATTAAATGAAGCTATGGCATGATTAATTATGTCTGTATTGTGACAGTCAGTACAATTAACTCCTGTGTCCTGTGGTAAGTAGGTACAATTTTCAGCATACTGTTTCCTGTGGTAAGTAGGTACATTTCTAAGCATACTGTGGTCTGTCAGTTCTATTCTGGTACAATTCTGACAGTACTGCAAGAGTCAGTACAATTCTAACAGTACTGCAAAAGTCGGTTCAATTCTGAAAGTACTGTAAACAGTCAGAACAATTCTTAAAGTACTGTAAACAGTCAGAACAATGCTTAAAGTACTGTAAACAGTCAGTTCAATTCTGACAGTACTGTAAACAGTCAGTACAATTCTGAAAGTACTGTAAACAGTTAGTACAATTCTGAAAGTACTGTAAACAGTCAGTACAATTCTGAAAGTACTGTAAACAGTCAGTACAATTCTTAAAGTACTGTAAAAAGTCAGTACAGTTTTGACACTACTGTAAACAGTCAGTACAATTTTGACAGTACTGTAAACAGTCAGTACAATTCTGACAGTACTGTAAACAGTCAGTACAATTTTGACATTACTGTAAACAGTCAGTTCAATTCTGACAGTACTGTAAACAGTCAGTACAATTCTGACAGTACTGTAAACAGTCAGTACAATTCTGACAGTACTGTAAACAGTCAGTACAATTCTGACAGTACTGTAAACAGTCAGTACAATTCTGACAGTACTGTAAACAGTCAGTACAATTCCGGCAGTACTGTAAATAATCAGTACAATTAATTGTGTGTGTACTGTGGAGAGTCAGAGAAATTGTGGTGCCTCAACACAATGAACTCTGTGTACAGTGGTTAGTCTTGATATTATGGGGCTTCAGCACAATCAATTGGTCAGTCTTGCGTATGTGAGGCCTCAGCACAATGAACTCTGTGTAGTGGTCAGTCTTGTTTACTGTTGCGCCCCAGCACAATTAACTGCTCAGTCATGCGTACTGTGGGGCCTCAGCATAATTAACTGTGTACAGTGGTCAGTCTTGTGTATGTGGGGCCTCAGCATAATTAACTGTGTACATTGGTCAGTCTTGTGCATGTGGAGCCTCAGCACAATGAATTGTGCTTGTATACTGTGGCCCTCAGCACAATTTATTGTGGGTGTACTGTGACCTGTAATTAGCATTAATTCTAGGAATGAAATTCTGTACTGTGAATTAAAATAAAACAAGCATATACATTGTGATACTGCAGGAAGCTTTGAAAAAAAATAAAGTACAAACATAATGTACTAAAATGAAAGAAGAAGAAAACCGCTTGGTGTTACTATGGATAAAAATCAAGCCTGCATATTCAAATTTTATACAAATAATATGTAAATATTAAAAGCATACTAATAAAACCAATCATCCAAAAATAAAGATATGTCACAACATACTGAAAACATTCCCTTGGGAAGAAAAAAAATAATGCAATCTAAAACTGATTCTAATCAAGTGATGCTGGAACATTTTTAAGATGGAACATTTATATGGCGGAACATCCTGAGGGTGGAACATTCTGAGGGTGGAACATTCTTGTGAACAAAATTCATGTGTATTTTTTTATCTTTTAGGTCATTGTGTAAGAGTTTGAGTGAGAACAAGAGTTATACCCTAGTGCAGCGACTCTCTGTTTCCATTTCATACAGAGACAGAAACAAAAGTGAGTCACTTAAAGCTGGTGCCTTATAGTCGGATTATGGGTGGTCAAAGTGCAGAGTTCAGGTGAAGTGTGGGACACACAAGGAGAAGTGAAAGAACAGGGCTGTGATGAGGGGCATAAAGCTGGTGCCCTACAGGAAAGGTCAATGTTGCCCCTTAACATTGATGGTTACACAACAACGCTGTTGGATATTAGTCACAGTCCAGGCACCCCTTAATACTGAAGGCTGCCCTACAATAAGGTTATTAAACTGGCAGGTCACAGGCCAAATCCGACCAGCAGAGACCTAGCAAGTGGCCTGCAGATCAATACCAGTTGTACCGTATTGATTGACTTTTGTATGCTGGGGCTTGGGCTACTGGTGATCCTCACTATCATCATTGTAGCCCCTATATAAACTTAGAGGAACAGCCTGCCATACAATACTGTAGGCATTATAGATGGGGGCAGCGTTGGCGAAGTCGATAAGAAGCTCGCTTTCAAATCCAGCTGCGACTCGCTGCAGTGCATGGTCGGTGTTCGAAACCGGGCAGCTCCCGGGGTTCACCCAGCCTCTAGGAAATGGGTACCAGAGTGACACTTTGGGGTAAATGGAGGAACGTCGCTGTAGCTACAGTTACGTGGCAAACGACGACACAGGCGGACAATTCTTATCAGCTGTCCGTACTGGTGGCAGAGCACTTAAGGTTTATAACCGTGTGCAATGACGCTGGTTCACATCTCCGACTTTGCCTTTTTTTTTTTTTTAAACTCTTATATTAACCAAACCTAACTCCTATCCTCTCATTGACCACCTTCTGTGTTGGTTCATGACCACTTACTGGACATTCACATCCATCCTCCCTATCTACAGGTTGTTCCCGCATGAGAATCTGTTAATAAATGCATATACAGCTTTGGCTGCTCTCTACCCCCCCCCCCCCCCCCCCCCCCCTTTTCGTATCCAGAACAGACAGAAACAAGGTTCAAAAATCCTTTCTTCCAGTTAAAACTGATGCTACATAAAGCAGGCACAAGTGACATCAAAATAAAATCAATTACAATGACTGCATTACAAAAATCACTCAAAGATAAAAGTTAAATGTCACCACCACCAAATAATAACAATAATTTTTAAAAAAAAATTACACTGCACTTTTGTCTTCCATAAATAAACACAAGCCAAATTCTACAAGGCATAATAAAGCTAACAAAAGCAAAGCTAACCTCATGGGCCAACCATACTTCTGTCACACATATAATCAAACATTTGCTTGCAGACTCACACTCACTCTATCATTTTCAGTAAAACAAATGTAGAAATAATACAAACTGGCAAACATTTCTACCCTCAAATCTAAAAACATCTTAACAATAGAATCAATGACATTGAAACAAAACAAAATCTACTGATGTTCAGGAGAAAATAAGTGTAATAACACAGATTGTACTCCCATATGACTGGTCAGAACTGATGTATATTTTGAACAATATGAGAGAGCCTAGTGACTAGTTTACATGTAAAATGTTGCTCTCAATGAGCCCCAAGAATGTCAGGTGGCAATGCCCTAAAGCACTGGCTCCCAGAGCTAACACACATGGATCCCTGTTATTTTCTAAACTCTGCCAGGGACCCTCATGTTGTAACAGTTGTATTTGAAATAAAAAATGAAAAAGGACATCTATATTAGAATTGGGGGCACACACACACACAAAGAGTTCAGGGATGTTGTAGTTTTTTTCTTCTTCTTCCCAAATGATATCAGGGGCCTCTTAAATTTGTTCTGAGACCCAGCAAATATGAGCCACTGTACTAATGTAACAATGAAATCTGAAAAGGAAATACAAAGACAAGCAGGTCAGCTAGTTTTTCCCCACGTCAATGGAGCAGGGGGGCATGTAATGCTAGGTCTGCCTTTTTATAGACCAATCAGCACTCAACGGGTGATATGGACAACTTCATGCCAACCACCTTTATTTCCCAGTACATTACCTAGTGCCTAAATAGGTCAGACTACCTGTCTTCATCTTCTTCATGTTCACCGGCTGTAAACTCTGGGGAAAAGTTCTGGTTGTTCACCCACTTTTGGCCTCTAGTCCTGTTCCAGAAACTGAGCGTTGTGTGTGCATTCATTTCTCAGGTCTAATTTGCATGCAGACTGTTGGTTCCTTGCCTCTCATGCAAATGTACTCCGACTTCAAAAGAAGCTCCCAATTAGTCGACTTTTACTACAAGCTTTTTGGGAGGCAGTGGGTCTATTCTTGTTTTCCCCTCACAGGGATGAAACTAGCCATGAAATAAACTCAATGCATGGAGTAACAACATAACAGAACTGTCACACTGATGTACTGTCAGTCATAATCCTTGAATTGCAGACTGTTACTAGTACCGTCAGCATTGAAACTGCGCTTGCTAAAGATAGGCATGGAGCGCTTATAGGAATATCCCCGAGTGACTTCGATTCTTAATGAAATTAAGTGTGTACTTTTCTTGTGCGCAATTGATACAATTTGACCATTTCTCCACCTAATCACTAATAAAACATGGATGAATCAAATGTACATGTAAACCTAACTGAATAAATCTATCCATTAACTTAACACTGAAATTCTCAGTCCAAACCCACTTTTGTGGCCCCTTACATGTACATAGGATTATTATGGTTGGCTCCCCTTGATAACTGTGTGTCGCCCCAGTGAAACAAGGGAGATAACAAATACTCCCATCTGGCCGTCAAATATATAAATATTGTCATGAAATGAAGCAGATACTCGCACATTAACAATCAGACACTGACTGGCTGAAAAGCTGACTCCGACAGACTCTGACAGTCTGGTGTTGACAGACTTGCAGACTGACAAGCAAATATTGAGAGAGTGACAATATGATGTTGACAGAATGATACTGCCAGACTAACGTGCAAACAATGACATCTTACACTGCCAGACTGACAAGCAGATAGTGACAGACTGAGACAGGCATGCAGGATGTAGACAGAAAAAATTTCCCATAGACAGAAACCTACTTCCTCTCGGTGACTTTGTTGGTGTTGCCGTTGGCGGAGACTTATAGCGCTCGCTCTCCCGTAACGACGACTCTCTCTCCAGACGAGAGTGAGAGCGGCGGTGGGCAGTGTCCTCATCCCCAGCTGCACCTGTATCAGCTGACTGCATTGCTCGCTGGCGGGCTCGGCGCTCTGAAGCATGCATAAATTTACTCAACAAGCATGCAACATTCATCTGACACAACCATGCACAAAAGTGAGTACTTGGGCAAATGTGACACCACAATGTGTTCTACGGCACCTAATTATGTTTTAAAACAAAATGGGTATGGCCCTACATAATACTGGCTGAACCCTTTACCTTTTAAAAAAAAAAAACTAACATTACTAATTTCCGAAATGCAAAGAAAACCAATTATTTAAGTTTGTTGGAAAAAAATGTAGTTAAAAAAAAAAAAAAAAAACTACACATATGGCAAAACCAATGTAGATAAGAAAACTGTTGACTCAATCAACGCTAAATAAGTGTCACATTTACCCCTTCACAGCATGCAATATTTGAACTGAAATTACTCATGGGCTACATCTTATGCTGCAGACAAATCACACACAATGGATTCCCTGAAAAGATAGCAGTGTTCAAAAGAAAACTGGGAGAGGGGGGGGGGGGGGGGGGCAATTTTGGTCAGCCTGAAGGCAAACTTCCATTTAAAAAAAGATAAGAGAGTAAAATCCCCCCCCCCCCCCCCCCCCTTTTTTTTTTTTTTTTTTTTTTTTTTTTTTTTTTTTACAAATTTACACAGGCAAACAATTTTTTTTTGTTTTGTTTACTAAATTATCTATTTATACTTTTCTAATTTCCCTTTTGTGTAATGAAGAGGAGTAATTATTCAATACAAACACAGCAGGGAATTAAATGGATTTCACTTCCATGGTCCCCCTAACAAATATATGTTAAAATTCAATAAAACTTGTGACACTAACAAATCAAGCAATCGAAAAAAATGTTACTTCCAGTTCAAATACTGCAGCAGCTATATTATAACAAATGAACCATGTGAGATGCTGCACCAACAGCCTGTTCTACAAACATTCCTCAATAAAGATACTAGCAACCTCCTCTAAGGACATACTCAACAGAGCTACCTAGTGCAATCAGTGATTCAATCAAGAAAATAATAGCCTCTTCTATTAACAACCTCAAATAAACAATCAGTCAAGGAACTATTCACCATCAAACGTATAAGACAGTGTTTAAAGTGCTGCAATGAGAATCCTCATCCGGGGGGGAAAAATAACATTTACTGTTCTTTAACAAGCATGTCAGAAAAGCGACTAATTCAGGATATGCTGAAATCAAATGTGCTGGAAATCATGTGTACTTTCAGTTAAAGAACTAAATAATACATCAGACAATATATTGAAAGTTGTAGGAAACAACAGAGTTGGAACTGACAGCTGTATTTTCCCAAGCAAAGGGTATTTCTAGAAAGCCCGGGGCGGAGAGGGCCAAGAAGGAAATGGCCAAGGAGGAGTTAAGGCCACAGCATGATGAAGAAACACCAGACACCAGATAACAATGAAGAGGATTTGACAGAAGTGGTCTGGCAGCTAGCTGGCAGAGAGCTTATTGTAGATGATCATGATGAGAGGTAAGTAAGAAATTATGGCAGAATGTATGTATTAATGCATGGTAGTTTCCCTCTGAGCTCTGTTGCAGGTTTGATAAACTCCTTAAATGAAGAAAAAAACAAAGATTTTACCAAACATACCAAACACTAAGCAAAGGAAAATGAACTAACCATCTCATCTGATGCACCCAAATCAATGTCACTCAAATAGCACAGTAGCAAACAATGGAATAACCAACATATCTGATGAATCCATACAATAAATATTTCTGGGCAAATAAGACTGGTGCCACATCTCACAGATTCAACCCATGATTGCACAATCCATGCATGTTATGGCAGGCACAAAACATCACATGAATACAATTACCAGCAGCAGGCTTGCTTGTTCGATCATACAGCACAATTCACAAGACAACATTATAACCAAGAGAAAACACATTAATTTGAGTTAAACATGCAAACAACACAGAAATGCCAAAACTGTTTTGTTGCGAATGTTTTTGATAATATTCACTCTGACAATATTTCCCTACATAGTTACATCATGCAAAGATTCCTAGTTAGCTCAGACCTAAAAACCTCAATTTTTTTTCGAAGATCTTTGTCACCCCATACTTTTAAAAATTCATAATTAGGAACTATTTATAAATTATGAATATTAAAATATCAAAAAGGATTGCATTCTAAAGTTGATGTGGAGGGAGACAGGGAGAATGATATCACAGATTCCTTAAATCTGTTCCTCAGACACAAAGGGAGTCCACAGACAACCAAATGGGAACCACTGATAAACTGGTCAGCCAACACTTGCACTGCACCCCTGCCTGTAAACAAGACTTGTTCACATGTGCACTCAAATATCTACCAGAAGTTAACAGAAAACCAACACATTATTTGTGCTAGTGTGCCACAGCAGTGGCAAACTACTGGATGTAAAATTTGCCTAGGGAAACCACAACAGCCAAAAAATGCTGGGGTTGGTTCTGCAACGTCCTGTAAAAGCTATACACCTAACTTGAACACCAATGCTATAGTCTACATTACACTAGACTCTGAACAGATGAAACCACATGTTGTTGTTACATAAGTGCCAGCACTAAATTCATTTTGTCTTTTTTTTTAATGTGACATTTTCTGGTTTCCATCTGTGTTACAATTTGATGTTGGTCTTCCCTATGATGTTCCATCTTATAATGAGATGGTCTGATGTTGTTCCATGCTGTATTTTCTAGTTTACAATGATATTCTGTGTTGTAAATCTTACCCTGACTTCTTATATTACAAATTAATTAGTCAACTCTCTGTCCCAAATTACATAACATGTGAATGACCATTGTTCGTGCGCACTAATGAATTTATCATGTGTGAATGACCAACCTTATCATGTGTGAATGACCGACCTTATTATGTGTGAATGACCGAACATAACATGCGAGAATGACCGAACTTATCATGTGTGAATGACCGACCTTATCATGTGTGAATGACCGGCCTTATCATGTGTGAATGACCCACTTTATTATGTGTGAATGACCGACCTTATCATGTGTGAATGACCGGCCTTTGTGTGCTGCATACTGTGTGAATAGCGATCCTTCTTGTGCACTAATGTGTCTTGTGTGACTACTACATTAAGTCAGAGCATACTTAATAAAAACCTGCCAAGATATAAGTTTCTATTAATCAGTGTGTATATATAACCCTTGTGAAAAAGTTATTTTCATACTGTATCCATTGGGAAGCTGCTCTCTATAATGTATATTTCTTTATTATATCTATAACATGCATTATTGATAACAGGCATTGGTACTCTGAAAAATGAGTGCTTAGAAGGGCTGAATGTCAGACGGGCCTGCGTGCCCAATTTGTAACCCTTTGAAAATAAAGTTTGTTCGTTTGTTCTGCTATATAACAGATATGATATGCACTGAACTAAACTGACTGTATTGTTTACAATGGCCTAGGAATTCAAAGAACTATTGAAACTGCTTCTGTAAAATGTTTTAACCACATGTCTAATCATGCAGACAGTTTGTTCAACGAAACTACACACATGCTTGTTTTAGCATTCCACAACTGTCAGATGTTAAGAATGGTTCTAGAGAAGCCAAAAAACACACAACACTATTGCTAACAGAGCAGCAGTTAAGTGACCAACCTTCCCGCTCAATGTCCAGTCTCTCCTCGGCCCCGCTGACCGGTCTGGCTGTCTCTTCTGCGGCATCTGGAGCTGCATGACTGACCGGGGCAGTCTGAGCCGGCTGTTCTGGTTCTATAACTGGTTCTGGTCTGAAAACAGCACACAAGAGGATATTGACATTTTGATTAAATTGCCGGTTTCAACCTAACATGAGAGGCCAAGTTGCTCAGATTCTGGCTTTCCCCTCCCCTCCCTTTCTCTCAAACAAATGAGTAAAAGTAAACAACCCTTTTACATCAGTGGTGAATGAGGCATATGGTACCAAAATCATATTTGTACAGACCAACTAGCACTGGGTGGGTGATGTAATCAACACCACACCGGCCATCTTTACTTCACAGGGCACTGCCTGTCACCCTCTTTAGCCTGGGTTGACCTGGTAGCCAAGGTCAAATGTCAAACAAATAACCTGAAAATATTACTTTCAATTAAGTTAATAGGTATAAATTATGGAAGGTATGATAGGATTAGGGACTAAATGAACATCTTATTAAACTGTGCAAGAGTTCATAGGTAAACAGCCAATGTGCAGTCAGAACAAACATAGGGATGTCAGCAAAGTTTCACATTAGATCTAAAGTGAGACCGGAGTGTGTTCTATCGTTACTATTGTTCATCACATACGACCACATCTGCAAATCAGCTAACATCAGCAAAAGGGGACAACATTAGAGAATTACTAAATGAATTGCTTTTCGCCAATGACCAGGCAATCAGAGCAAAAACAGCAGTACAACTTCAAGAACATATTAACAGACTCTACACAGCATGCAACAACTGTGATATGAAGATGAACACAGGCAAAACAGAAGTGAGGACATTCTCCACAAAAGGAAGAACCATCAATATCAAAACTGATGACATCAGTTAAAGCACTTTACATACCCGGGGGTATCCTTTCAGAAGATGGAAGAATAAATAAAGAAATCCAACAAAGATGCAAATGGCACAACATTTGAAATGCAAGCATGTGAATATGAACATTGAAAGAGTACTGCTCGTGACAATATTTTTACCAACGCTATACTACGAATGTATGGACAGTGTCTTCAGGAGACAGAAGGAAAATAGTCACAACAGAAATGAAATGTTTGCATTCTTTGCTAGGTGTAACGAGGAAAGATTGGCTTAGGAACGATAATACCAGGAGGAGAATCGGCACAGAACCAATACTGAGTTTTATTGGTAAACAACAGATCAAATGGTGTGGCCAGGTAACAGGACTGGCACCACAGAGAGCAGGGCACAGCAGACAGCAGGGCACCACAGAGAGCAGGGCACAGCAGACAGCAGGGCACCGCAGACAGCAGGGCACCGCAGAGAGCAGGGCACCGCAGACAGCAGGGCACCGCAGACAGCAGGGCACCGCAGACAGCAGGGCACAGCAGACAGCAGGGCACAGCAGACAGTAGGGCACCGCAGACAGCAGGGAACCACAGAGAGCAGGGCACCACAGAGAGCATGGCACCACAGAGAGCAGGGCACCACAGAGAGCAGGGCACCACAGAGAGCAGGGCACCACAGAGAGCAGGGCACCACAGAGAGCAGGGCACCACAGAGAGCAATGTTATACAGATACAGAGATAGCAGTACACACAGAAGATGGGACCTCAGAAATATCAGAGGTACTGAAAAGTACATTGTGTCAAGTGTCACTGACACATCATGAGCATAGATTGTGACAAGCATGGCACATCATAAAGACAGACATTGTCAAATATTACAGACAGCATGAAAACATATTGTATCAAGTAACATTAACACATCATAAAGCCAGACTGTCACATATCACTAACACATCAAGAGACATAATATGTAAAGTACTGACACATCATAAAGACCGATTGTGTCAGATTGTAACTGTTATTCAAACATGGCCCAGACCTGCACACAGACAAACACGTAGAAACCAACATGGCCCAGACAAACACGTAGATACCAACATGGCCCAGACCTGCAACAGACAAACAGACAAACACGTAAAAACCAACATGGCCCAGACCTGCAACAGACAAACACGTAGAAACCAACATGGCCCAGACCTGCAACAGACAAACAAACACGTAAAAACCAACATGGCCCAGACCTGCAACAGACAAACACGTAGAAACCAACATGGCCCAGACCTGCAACAGACAAGTAGAAACCAACATGACCCAGACCTGCAACAGACAGACAAGTAGAAACCAACATGACCCAGACCTGCAACAGACAAACACGTAGAAACCAACATGGCCCTGACCTGCACACAAACAAGTAGAAACCAACATGGCCCAAACCTGCACACAGACAAACACGTAGAAACCAACATGGCCCAGACCTGCACACAGACAAACACGTAGAAACCAACATGGCCCAGACCTGCAACAGTCAAACAAGTAGAAACCAACTTGGCCCAGACCTGCAACAGACAAACACGTAGAAACCAACATGGCCCAGACCTGCACACAGACAAACACGTAGAAACCAACATGGCCCAGACCTGCAACAGACAAACACGTAGAAACCAACATGACCCAGACCTGCAACAGACAAACACGTAGAAACCAACATGGCTCAGACCTGCACACAGACAAACACGTAGAAACCAACATGGCCCAGACCTGCAACAGACAAACACGTAGAAACCAACATGGCCCTGACCTGCACACAGACAAACACGTAGAAACCAACATGGCCCAGACCTGCAACAGACAAACACGAAGAAACCAACATGGCCCTGACCTGCACACAGATAAACACGTAGAAACCAAAATGGCCCAAACCTGCAACAGACAAACACGTAGAAACCAATATGGCCCAGACCTGCAACAGACAAACATGTAGAAACCAACATGGCCCAGACCTGCACACAGACAAACACGTAGAAACCAATATGGCCCAGACCTGCAACAGACAAACATGTAGAAACCAACATGGCCCAGACCTGCACACAGACAAACATGTAGAAACCAACATACTTTGGTGGTGGTGGAGGTGGCAGAAACTCTTGGATGTACCGATGCCTCTTTTCCTCCTTCTGTCTGGCTATCTCATCTGGATGACTTCTGCTATACTCCTCTGCTTGCCTTTTCTCTCTATCCTTAATTTCAAACTGAAATGAGATTTTTAATAACCTAATAATATTTTTCTAGAAATTTCTCTCAGAACTATCATACAAACAGGATGTAAACACAAGCGGTATCAACTAGTTCATCATCATGAACCTCTTGTACTTTTTAAAGTGTGTGATTGAGGGGAGTGGAGGTGTTATCAGTTCATTGGGTGGCAATAGCTATTCTGTGTTTATGTAAAATGTCTTTAACAGCATCAATCCATCTTCTCTTAAGGCAAAACTTTGCTCTCCCATCACATAGATAAATCAGTTAATGACTTCAAGTGCCCAAGTATAACAAATGGGAATTAATACACTGTAGCACTGCCCCCTACCAAGCATATCACCCACTGAGGTGACTACAGGGAGGACTGGTCTTGGGCCTGGCTCCTCTACCCTGTAAAATATTTCAGTTTCAAAACCTAACTAACTTTTCTGTACTGCAGTGAATTCCAGGTCACTGTGGCTTGGAGGGCAATGAAATAGCAGACAGATTGGCCAGAAGCGGCAGTCACGTGGTACAATCAAATCGTAACTTAACCCACCAAAAGACTTAAGATATTCATACAATCTAGTATTCAAGAAAGTGGCTGGATACAGGCACCAAATTCTCTCTTCAAGACTCACTTCAGCGCCTCTCTAAAGAGGGACAATGTCTTATATTAAGACTAAGGACAGAGCACAACAGACTTTGTCAATATGTTCAAACTTTTCGTGTAGGAAACAGGAGATGTGTCCCTGCAGCTTGGCATCAAAAAATGCTGAGCGTGTGCTCCAACACTGTCAATTGTATGCTGCCAAGAGACAATCTGGCTTGTTCCAACCACAATGAAGACAAAGCTGTATGGTACATGAGGAGAATGGACTGCGTGATAGCTTTCATTAAAGACCATCAGCCTTCTGGTACAAGTCTTCTGACAGAAGAATTGAAGAAGAAAACCAGGCATATATGTAGAATTAGAGACAAAGTGAATAAGATGAGGAATACATGGCACTGACAGGATAGGATAAGTTCGTCTCAGCTGATAAAATGGACAGTAAAAGATCACTTGGTGTCAGTAGGTTCTGAATATATGTTTCATTAGAGGCTAAAAGATGTCAGAAATACAGCTAACTCTAAGAACACTCTGAAACCTGTTTTAAAAAAAGGTATAACCTATAAATAAATATAATCAAGATGAAAGAATCAATGAAGCCTGCCTACCGTAGTTGGTTTTTCCAATGCTGCAAATCTCTCCTCTTGTGTGGCAGCTGATTTTTCAAAAGCTTCATGCTTCTTCAACAGGTTCTCAACTGCATCAAGGGTATCCTGAAAGATATCACAAATCATGTACTTATTTTACCAGGTAACAATAATTAAACAAAAGATATTTCCACTTGGGTTGCTAAATTGTAACTATACAAGGTCAGAGAGCTGTGATAACCAGTGACTAGATGCTTGCCTTTTGGCCCAAAAGAGCTGGGTTCAACAAATCTGCCAAAAGGTAGATTTTTATATGTTAGGTTTGAATCTGCAACGAGGCAGACTTTTATATAAATACCTGGACTACCAGGGTGACCTCACCTAAAACAGGTAATGCCTTAGGGAAAAAAGCGCATACTTGAACTGACCATGTCATCCTTGCAGTACCAACTGGTCAAAGTGCCAAATCAGGATCTAGCCCTATGTGTCTTATGCATCAATGATGTGATACAGGTACGTTACCTTTACATACAAAATGTTCTCTTGTACTATTCAAGCTCACAGATAAAGCAACAGTGAGTTTGGGTTGGTGTCAAGGAATGACAAGCCATTACACATTACCGTAAAAGAGTCGGGACCTGTATCACCTGTGCTCGACAAAACTTTCAAACTTCGACTCGTCCGGGAAGGTATATAGTCCCTTATATCGATAAATGCCTTTATCGGATAAAATTATAATGTCTACATCTTCTAGTTGCTTTGACTTAGCGTCATTTTCAAATTTGCAACTATACAATAAATATTGCTGGAGTTATTTGAATACTCCTGGAAACCGGTTTACTCCTTGCTCAAGTATACAAGGAACTTCTTCTTACCGACGCCTAACTTGAATTTGTGCAGGCATTGTTTCTGCCAGCTTTCCTGGAGCTCAGATGTACTCATAGACGCCTCAGTAAATTTCACGTTAAGAAGGCGGCCTGTAGTGTCTAGGACTTTTCCTATGCTTGGGTAAGTTAATTATAGTTTACGAGTACCTTAAATGATGTCTGGTTAAAAAAGTCGCTGCTGTAAATATACCGGCCTCGGCTATGTGATCGCACATAGTTCGACCGTTCTTGATCTCTAGAGAAGCGGATTCGAACTTAGACCTTCTTCTGTACAGACTAAATGGCCTATGCCCTAAATAACCCACACATATTGGTAAAGATAATGACCCTACAAGTGTGTACCATTTAAACTAACAACAGAAGTTTGTGCATACGAATGGGGACGGAGAATTTAGGTCAGTACTTGGGCAGCCAGAGCATTGCGTTGAGTGTGTTTGACACAGATCCATGGATGTGTGGGAATGGCTTGAGAGTCGTAGGGGATAGGGGTACTGACTCTAAACATTGGTGTCTGTGTGCAGATGGGAGGAGGGAGAGAAATTGAGATACGTGTGATAGTGTCTATCTGTCTCCACTATATATATATATATATATATATATATATATATATATATATATATATATATATATATATATATATATATATATATATATATATATATATATATATATATATATATATATATATATATATATATCTGACTTTCCGTCTCTTGCACTAAACAGACAGATAAATGATAGGAGACATTGTCTCCTGGTCTTGAGAGTACACTCTAAGGAATGAAACAGAGGAGCAGAGGTGGAGTAGGCTGATGTGGGATGGTGACTGATACTTATTCTGAGTCTTTCCTGTCAAGATGATACCCTCTTGGTGATGACTAATTCTGAGTTCTTTCCTGACAGGATGAAACCTTTGTGAAGAGCTGGCAGAATAATCACAGTCCAACCAACTATCAACCAACTACCCACCAGCTAACACCAGTGAAGGTACCTGGCATCATCATCATGGGGTGCCATATACCCCAAACATCCTAACAGTGCCAGAGCATGTGAGTGAACTCCAGAGCAGGTGAACATTTGTAGAGAGTATATCCATACTTGAGTAGACCAGTCTTCAGGAGCTTGGTGTAACTCAGAGACAGTATTGTGACCTGACAGGTGGGAGAGACTTGCTGAGTACCTATAAAGTTGCTGTGTCCTCTATGGTGAAGTACTCCTCTACTACCTGATCCACTTGAATAGAACCAGAGTCAAAGACAGTCGAATCACCAGGAGCTGAGGGAAGCATCAACAGTAGAACTAGGATAAGTGCCAGTTTGATTCTATGTCATGCTATATTCCCCACAGCTCCAATGGATTCCAAGGATGAGAAAGTGTTACCTACAGGACTTTCTGGCTGCTTAGATTTCTGTTGAGTCTGGTCATTGTATTCTGGGATCCATCCACTGAGATCTGGTGTCCACTTCACTATTTTATGTCTATGTTGTAATGATTACATGCATTCATTTTCATGGCTGACTCAGGTGTCTCTATTTCACCGTTCTAAGTGTTTAGCATTGTTGTGTGTATGAACCTTAAATATTATATGTGTTAACATGGTTATGATAGTAAACTATCATAACCTGGGAGCTTTCTTTTTATAGTAGTGGGGGTGTCCAGCCAAGTGTGCCTAGGAATAATGTATTCATATACAGATATATTTTGTAGTGCCAAAACTCCAGAAATAAGTTGAGCGTATATTGGCCACGGGGCATCCCTTAGACCAATACGAGCCAAACGACTCAACATAATTATTTCTGAGTGCTGTTAGTTCTGAAGGAAAAATCCTTAAATCAGGCACGTGACAGCAGTGATATGTGACAGTTGGGATGCTAAAACATCAGTTTCTACAAAGTTCTACTCTAAAACTGGCTGAATTCCCATAATGGTGAATATCTAGCTTGATTTCACTTGAGTGTGTTAAATGGTTGGTTATCATATTTAAACTTCAGCCGTACCGCCTAACTTTTTAAATACAGACTCTCACTGAACACTTAGATGAGGTCGGCAATACAGTCTTTCTCATTTAGTGTTGCCCTCTGTGGTATGCAGAACAATGGCGGCCTGCTGAACAAATTTAAGGGGTTCGTGATATCATTTTAAAAGAATAAAATTAAAAAAAAAAAGCCTCAACTTTTGAATGCAATTCTTTCTGTGAGTCTAACATTGATAAACAATCAGTTATCCAGTATAACAATTATAAACACAGGGTTGCTGGGAGACCTCTGAAACAAAATGGGTCCATAAGCTAATTGGGAAACACAACTCTAGAGCAAACAAATTTTTCCAACAGATACAGTCCTTCATCAACATTCAGCTGTTTGGAATCTTGAGGCACTGGTTTCAGGAGTCAAACTCAAGTCTTCCAGAAGTCTAACAAACTAACCAGACTGACAGCCAGCCAACCATCCAACATTAAAGAGATTGCCTCATGACCAAACACAGTTTCCAACTTGTACAGTAAACACTAATTTAATTCTTCTCACATTAAAAAAAACAACCACTAATTTAATTCTTGTCCCATTAGAAACATTACATTCAGACACTGTGTGATGGAGAAGGCACCGACCAGCTACTAACTGCTAGATCTCTGGCAACACTATAAACATTACATTCAGACACTGTGTGATGGAGAAGGCACCGACCAGCTACTAACTGTTAGATCTCTGGCAACACTATAAACATTACATTCAGACACTGTGTGATGGAGAAGGCACCGACCAGCTACTAACTGTTAGATCTCTGGCAACACTATAAACATTACATTCAGACACTGTGTGATGAAGAAGGCACCAACCAGCCACTAACTGCTAGATCTCTGGCAACACTATAAACATTACATTCAGACACTGTGTGATGGAGAAGGCACCAACCAGCTAATAACGGCTAAATCGCTGGCAACACTATAAACATTACATTCAGACACTGTGTGATGGAGAAGGCACCGACCAGCTACTAACTGCTAGATCTCTGGCAACACTATAAACATTACATTCAGACACTGTGTGATGAAGAAGGCACAGACCAGCTACTAACTGCTAGTTCTCTGGCAACACTATAAACATTACATTCAGACACTGTGTGATGGAGAAGGCACCGACCAGCTACTAACTGCTAGATCTCTGGCAACACTATAAACATTACATTCAGACACTGTGTGATAGAGAAGGCACCGACCAGCTACTAACTGCTAGATCTCTGGCAACACTATAAACATTACATTCAGACACTGTGTGATGGAGAAGGCACCGACCAGCTACTAACAGCTAAATCGCTGGCAACACTATAAACATTACATTCAGACACCATGTGGCGGCAAAGGCACCGACCAGCTACTAACTGTTAGATCTCTGGCAACACTATAAACATTACATTCAGGCACTGTGTGATGGAGAAGGCACCGACCAGTTACTAACGGCTAAATCGCTGGCAACACTATAAACATTACATTCAGACACTGTGTGATGGAGAAGGCACCGACCAGCTACTAACTGCTAGATCTCTGGCAACACTATAAACATTACATTCAGACACTGTGTGATGGAGAAGGCACCGACCAGCTACTAACTGTTAGATCTCTGGCAACACTATAAACATTACATTCAGACACTGTGTGATGGAGAAGGCACCGACCAGCTACTAACTGTTAGGTCTCTGGCAACACTATAAACATTACATTCAGACACTGTGTGATGAAGAAGGCACAGACCAGCTACTAACTGCTAGTTCTCTGGCAACACTATAAACATTACATTCAGACACTGTGTGGCGGAGAAGGCACCGACCAGCTACTAACTGCTAGATCTCTGGCAACACTATAAACATTACATTCAGACACTGTGTGATGGAGAAGGCACCGACCAGCTACTAACTGTTAGATCTCTGGTAACACTATAAACATTACATTCAGACACTGTGTGATGGAGAAGGCCCCGACCAGCTACTAACTGTTAGATCTCTGGCAACACTATAAAAATTACATTCAGACACTGTGTGATGGAGAAGGCACCGACCAGCTACTAACTGCTAGTTCTCTGGCAACACTATAAACATTACATTCAGACACTGTGTGATGGAGAAGGCACCGACCAGCTACTAACTGTTAGATCTCTGACAACGCTATAAACATTACATTCAGACACTGTGTGATGGAGAAGGCACCGACCAGCTACTAACTGCTAGATCTCTGGCAACACTATAAACATTACATTCAGACACTGTGTGATAGAGAAGGCACCGACCAGCTACTAACTGTTAGATCTCTGGCAACACTATAAACATTACATTCAGACACTGTGTGATAGAGAAGGCACCGACCAGCTACTAACTGTTAGATCTCTGGCAACACTATAAACATTACATTCAGACACTGTGTGATGGAGAAGGCACCGACCAGCTACTAACTGTTAGATCTCTGGCAACACTATAAACATTACATTCAGACACTGTGTGATGGAGAAGGCACCGACCAGCTACTAACTGCTAGATCTCTGGCAACACTATAAACATTACAACCAGACACTGTGTGATGGAGAAGGCACCGTCCAGCTACTAACTGCTAGATCTCTGGCAACACTATAAACATTACATTCAGACAGTGTGGCGGCGAAGGCTATGACCAGCTAATAACAGCTAAATCGCTGGCAACACTATGAACATGACATTCAGACAGTGTGTGGCGGAGAAGTGACCAGCAAACTTACTCCCAGATCTTGGTTGGACAAGTAAGGTTCTTGTGCTATAAGCCATGCCTCGGCCACAGCAGCATCTCGGGCAAACTGGTACACCTCCAGAACTGGAAAGAAACAGGAAAATACAGGTACTTTAAATATACATACATACGTATACACAAATCTTTTTTTAAAATGTAGTTGAAATTAACTTTAGGTTAACAAAAGCATTTAAAAATAAAAAGATCAATGAGAGTGTCCTAACATGATTTTATAATTTAGTTAACTGTAAATCAGCTTTTCATTTTCAGTAATGAATAAGTTTTACATACAGAAGGTCGAGGTCTTATCACAGACCGTGTGACATCTGCAGTTCAGTTAGAACAAAGCAAGGTAATAAGAGAGTGCCACATGTAGAAAAGACAAGAATATAAGTAAATTCAAGAACAAAATAAAAGACAAGAAGATGTGCGTGGAAAAACACACTCACTCAGCTGTAGATGTATCCACCGCTCCTTCCACAAGTCGGCCATGTCTAGTCTCTGCAGGGTCAGCTGGATCAATTTCTCTCTGACCTTTAAAGAACAAAAAAAAACATATTTACTAAATCAAAGCGATCCAAGTTGAATTTGGCTTTCCTTCTTGTTTTTTTTTTCCTCATTTACTGCTGCAGATATCACCCACCTCTATTCATCTCTGTGACTGGCCTTCTTTTTTTATTTGGTGACTACAAGTGTTTGTCTGTCCAGTTTTCTTAGTCTGCCTCATGGTCTACCTCCATTCGATTCTTTTGCTGTTTGTCTCTCCGTTATCTGCCATTTACTCTATATGCTCCAACAATCACGGCAGTTTGTCTCTCTATTTTCTGCCATTTACTCTATGTGCCCCAACAATCACGGCAGTTTGTCTCTCTATTATCTGCCATTTACTCTATGTGCCCCAACAATCACGGCAGTTTGTCTCTCTATTATCTGCCATTTACTCTATGTGCTCCAACAATCACAGCAGTTTGTCCCTCTATTATCTGCCTTTTACTCTATGTGCCCCAACAATTGCAGCAGTTTGTCTCTCTATTATCTGCCATTTACTCTATGTGCCCCAACAATCGCGGCAGTTTATCTCTCAATTATCTGCTATTTACTCTATGTGCCCCAACAATCACGGCCTATTAGCCCTCATGATGCCAGTATTTAGTGGTGATTGAAACAGTCATGAAATCTGCTGGTGCATCTTGCTCTTCAATATCCGATTTTGTATCTTGGATGGCTAAAATGATTTATTATAAGACTGTTCTCAAATGATTTGTAATAAGTTTTCATCTAATTTAGTTGTACTCCAAGTTGTTCTATGACTTAAAAGTATTTGTTTCGTTTCTTTTACATTTTTTGTTTGTTTGTGTGAAATACCAAATTTGTAAAGAATGTCTAACCCCCACTAGCTTTTTGGTAGTGGTTCGGACACCTGGCTTTCTCAGATAAGGAGAGGGACAGCTGGAAATTACAAAGAGACCATTTCGACCCCAGCTTGGGCTACACTTCAAATGAGAAAAACTATCCACAAAGAATATTTATAATATGTATGATCCTGGGATTGTCTCCGGCGAATTCACAGACAACAACAAATTAACATTAGCAAATGGTTTTAATAATTCTGTGATCTTCCATATTAAGTGTAGATCTGTAACGGAATCTGAACTGTAAATAGAACCCTCGTAAAGTTTATTCAGCCATTCAGAGGAACGGAGATAAAACAATTCAACATCCCCCATGGTAACATTTTGGAGAACAAGGAGCAGAAGACCCACAGCCCCTCAGACAAGCATGTCGCAGAAGGTGACAGGTGGAGTGCATCTGCTTGAAGGGCAGGGAACCAACAGAAAACATACAATTAAGCCATACAATTTCTGGATCAGGAATAAGGTCCGGGAGTGGACAAACAACCAGAAATTTCAGCCGGAGTGTACAACTAGTGCACGATAAGAAGAATAAGAAGAAAACCATTCAACAAATGGATGATTACAAAAGAAAGAACCAGTACTTGCCTGCTCTTGTTTGTAATGCTGTCGTTCCAGCAGATCTCGTCCCAGATTGACACAGATGGCAAAGTTTTCCTCCCGGGCGTCAATTTCTGCCTTGAGGCTCTGGTGATTGTTCATGAGCAGTTCAACACCGGATACATCCCTGCAATTGTTGAAAACAGGTGATTATACCTCCACACTGCTGCTAACTGTGTGAATCTAGTTCTTGTTTTCTCCATCCATCCATGAACCTCTACAAGTTACTGAAATGAAATGTCTCAAATATCCCTGTAACCAGGCATCAGTGTATTTGTGAGATAAATATACTAAGTGCATAATAAAGAATGGACCATGAAAAGACAATAAATGGGAAGAGAGGAAGAAAAATTAATTACTCAGAAGGAAGGAAGGAAATAATTCAAAGAAAGAAGGTAGTATAAAGAAAATAAAAAGTGAATGAAAAAAGTAAGAAACAAAGAACTAGCAAAGAACCAACATCTTGCACACCCCAAAATTAACAAACTGCTTGCAGGAAAAGGACAGAACAGTCTCTAACACCATCAATTAATACAGCAGCATACAACTCAATAAATCCACCAACCAAACCCCCTTTTTACAATCCCCCCCCCCCCCCCTCAGTGCTAGCCATTACCTTAGCCCTTTAACTCCAGAAACAGGGGAAATGTCATGAACCCAGGAATCCCCCCCCCCCCCCCTATTCTTTACACATGTCACTTTTATATATTTTCATTAAAAGCATTAAAATAAATGCAGAGAGAAGTAATCAATAAATACAAATGAACCAAATAATTAAATGATTTATCTGCACCGTAGCCTAAACAAAAAAATATACGATGATGATTCATTCCGTGACCGCTGTCGATATGCAATTACTAAAGGCAAATGGCATCAGGACTTAAAAAAAATATTTCCTAATTAACCAGCATTCCTCCCCTGCTCCCCCTCCAATGCTATATTTAGTCAATATAATCATGTTCGACCCCTTTAAGTAACGCGAAAGGTGTAAACACTACCAGTGCTATTAAACAGGCCTTGCGGAAACTGGCCAAAGTCTTATTGCCTGAACATCAGCAACATCTAGGGGACCAAGGGTTAATCTGTTACTGTACTCACCTTGGCTTTTCTTGTGTGTTCATCTGCCTGGTGATGTCATCGATCCACAGCAGCAGGTCTTTGGCCATGAGCATGAATCTGTAATAATCGGAGGCATCTGCCAAAGTCAGCCTCCTCTTCTCTACAAGGATGTGCAGGTTCCTCCATGCATCCAACACCTCTCGCTCTCTGTCTATGATGGTCTGTGCATTGTCCCCTGCATATCCTGCCTGTAGTCTCACAGATTCCACTTGGATGGCTTCCACCTACAAGGAACAAGATTTCACCCACATGAATACAAGCTTAAGCACTTCCTCTTTTACTGTTACAATTCTGGATAAAACAGAGTGAGTCAACATTTTCAACAATGCCTCTTGTTCTTTTTATTCTCCTTGCCAATGTTTACTTTTTGAGAAGGCCACAGGCCTACATAAAGGCTGTGGTCCAACACTGTTCCAGGGCTTGGTTTCCATAGGAATGCCAACTGGCCAGACCTAAGGATTAAATGGGTGCTAGCTTAAGTCCTGGGAAGTAAAGGCGGTTGGCATGATGCTGACCACATCCCCCATTGGGAGTGTAGAGAGCACGTCTGCAACACAGGTTCAGTAGTCTTCTGGGGTGCTTCTCCATGGGGGCAATATTTCTGAGTTCCTCATCTGGAATGTCCTGTTCATAAAGCTGTGGAATCTGCTGTGCTCAGTTCAGTCTAAATACAATTACAATGGATGAATAATTCAAGAATCACATCTCTACACTTGGAACATTTCCCTGCATGTATTATGTGCCCTTTCTCAGTTGCCCATGAACAATCAGTTACCACACTGATGGCTCTCTGGCAACCTGAATTAAAGTCTGCCTACCTTTCCCCTGCATACTGGCTATTTCTAGACCCTCTGCACCCAAAACATAGGCCACTGGCCCATGTAAAAACACACTTCATACAACAAAGGACAACAACTTTTATGAACAGTAAGAACATACCTGTGTGCCCAGGGCCACCAAGTCGTGCTCAAAGTTGGCATGCTTTCTCTGCAGGGCTGCCACACTCTGGGCATCACGACCAAGCTCTTCAGGAATGTAGTTCTGTTTCTCCTGCAAGTGTCAAGAATGCACAAGTAGCAATGAGATATGAATATGCCAAGTAACACATTTACAAACATTACTTCTCACTGATATATTTCTCAGATTTCACATTAAACATACAAATGCGTCTGGTGGGTTTTAGTGTGTTGACTGTTGATGTTCATTTTAAGTTTGAACTTGGAATACTGTGTCCATCAAATTCTTTCTGGTTGATTTCAACTGTTAATGTTAGCCAACTTAGAATGGTCTCTAATTTCGCTTGGAAAATTAAATTTAAAAAAAATAATTTTAATATTGGAAGGAAAGAATTGAAATGTTATTACAAGCTTCACTAACCATTTAGCCAAGAAGAAGGGAGAGGAGGAAGAGTAGGAGGATTAGAAAAAAGAAGAAGAAGAAGAAGAAGAAGAGCAAGAAAGACAAAAAAGGAGAAGAAGGAAAAAGACAAATAAGGAGAAGAAGGGAAAAAAGATCAAGAAAAAAGAAGAAGAAGAGCAAGAAAGATGAAGAGGAAGAAGGAAAAAAGATGAAGAAAGAGAAAAATAAAAAAAGAAGAGCAAAAGGAAGAAGAGGAGGGGAGGATAAGAAGAAGAGAGGAGGAGGAGAAGGGAGAAGAAGAGCAAATAGAAAGAAAAATGAGAAGCAGAAGAAGGAGGAGGAGGAGAAGAAAAAGAACCTAAGGTAGCAATAATGATAAATAGCAACAGATAAACTTTAACTTCCTACCAAAATCCTCTCCAGAGCTTCCTTGCAGTCGTAGAAAAATTTGTGCAACTCCCATGAAGTCTGCAGCAGCTCTGTACGAGTGTCCATGAGTTCCAGCAGGTCAGCCCAAGCATCGTTGACATTATCCTTCCACTCTGCGATTGCTGCAGCGTCGGAGTGCTCTGATGCTATCAGAGCATCACAAATCTCATTAGCAGATGCCACCCGTTCTTGGCCGATACTTTCTGTCTCTCTGGCAAACTCTTTAAAGTTCTCCTTCAGAAGCTGCAAATGGGAAATAGAAATAGATTATACGTTTTCTAGTTTTGTTTTCTGTGATCTTCTTCTATGATCTAAAAAAAACGCAACTCTGATGTATGAATGTGAATCATGAACAGCCAGTCACTTATTGAAAAATTATGTGAAAGCTGTAGGGTTTTATAGAAGGATAAAAAAAACAATACCATGTCAGGTTTAAAAAAAATATATATATACATACAGACACACACATATATTAAAATTAAATTAGTTGTGTATCCTTTACAGGACGTTGCAGAACCAACAATACAAAACCATCTTCATCATATGTATATACACACATACTGTGATGACCCTGCTTTGCATGGTCTCCACGAGTACATTGTGACAAGCAGAAAGTCCGTGCTACAAGTGACGGCACAAGATACTTGTGGCCGGTGGAGTAAGCGAGGGGAAGCCCGAGCTAGACTTGTGGTCAGTTGATCATCAGAAGTCGTAGAAGACGGTTGCATTTAGTAGAAGATGTAGTCCCTATGTCGTGTGTGTGACCAGTATTTGAATATGTCGTGAGCGATAGAAGTGTAAATAATTGTGGAAGCATGTGGAATAAATGTAACTGAATAAACTGTTAGTATGTACAAGGAAGCCTAGTGGCGTTTGTGTTATCAACCCTAGACGTTAGAGCAGTGCAAGTTATGTTGTAGTAATCATCCAGAGAGTGAGCCATGACGAGAGCAGATATGTCGTAAGACAAGGTACATGTCGAGTGACGTCGGCCTAACCAAGGTTCATTCCACATACATACATACATACATATAATGAAGAAGGATTTGTATTGTTGTTTATGTGTACAGGAAAAACCTGACCTATCAGAAGAAGTCAAACAAACAGAAAGTTAGCTAGGTCACCATGGCATGTCTATCTTTCTGTGGCTTATTCAACTGTAAAAATGTCATTCTTGTTTCTTCTTGATGACACTTCCAATGACCCTGAGTCTTGTGGATCCAGATACATGCCCAATGAAATATCTGTTCCCTAAATGGTCGATTTCGACACTTTAAGATACACAATAATAATGGACCTTACAATCAAAGGCTGGTGGCCGCTAGAACTTTGAAAGCCAAGTTGTAAAGGTCACTTGCCACAGTTGCAGGCATGCAAAATGCCAGTTAGGATTTTGTTTTCAAATGTTACCCTAATGCTTGGTTTAGTTTTCTTCAAATGTTCCCTAAATTGGAGTTTGTGGCTTAGACATTGCAAGCGCGCTTTACAATCCTGAAATATTCAGTTGGAATCCAGCCACAGGTTATGCACTGACTTTAATAACTGCATGAAGCGCGACCATTCAGAAAGCAATGTTATATACCTGAATGTAAAACTGTCTAGTTATACCACAAACAGCTTTAAAAAAATTGCTGGGATTGGTTCTGCAATGAACGGTAAAGGATTTGCAATTAATTGTTTTGGGTTTTTTAAACCCATGAAAAAAATTTTTTTTCAAACTTTTCTTCACTGGGAGTTCTAACTTCACGTCCTGCAGGAGAAACAAACGACAACAAATCACAGGACACTTACACAAACATGCTCGTAATCCTGCCCAGGCTCATTGGATCCTGCCACCACGGACTTGTCAGCAATCCACTCCAGCAGATCGTCAATCTCTCTGTGTAGGGTGTACAATTTGAAAACCTCCTCCAGCTTGCCTCGTCTCTCCTGGGCCAGATCCTTCAAGCCAGCGTACAGTTTGTCCACCTGAGACTGGCGCAGAGCAATCTGATCGCTGCAATCAAACACAAGCCAAAAACACACTGTCAGATCATTCAGTGACAAGCATGACTGTGTTGACATGGGAGTAAAGCATGTGGAAGCATGTCTTATACAGCCACTGGGGCCGAGATAGGAGACAATACAACCAGCTCCTTATGAGAACAATCAGCAAAGATATCTTGGAGTGCCTGCTGCATTGAAGAACTGAGCATGGATGCCTAATGTGCAGCATAACACAACATAACAAGCACAGAACGTCGATTGTGATAGCATAACACAACATAACAACCACAGCTGATATCAGAAAGCTGTGGTAGCATTGTGGCAAGCAGGTCTGCCTGTCAGCTCAGTATTTGAATCCATGCTGAGGCAGATATTTAAAACAGACACTGGCTTCTAAGTAGACCCATCTTAAAATGGTTATTAGGAAATTACCTCAGAAGTAAAAGTGGTCAGAATGAACTTTTAACACAATGCTTATCTCCCTGTGTGGGGCCCAATGTGGGGAAAACAAGAACAGACCCTCTACCTTCCCAACACGCATGTCACAGGAGTAGACTAAACTGGGGGTATCCTTCAGTCAGGGTACATCTGCCTGAGGCACAGAACTAAGAGTCTGTATACAAATAAGCCAGATCTGTAAAACAGATGTGCATGCAACACACAGGTTCTGCAACAAAACTAAATCCCGGACGAACAACCAGAACTTTCTGCCAGAGTTTACAGCTGGTGAATATGAAGAAGAAGAAATCACCCATCAAATAAACATTGGTCTTTACAATATGGAACTAGTACTATATTACTGAAAACTGGTTGTAACGTCACTTATGACCAATACTGAGACCATCAAGTGATAAGCACAATAAACACACACGTAACTAGCTGAAACCAGCACAATTATCACACAGTTTGAGATGCAGATTCTCCCACTGCTTTTCTATACATAATTTACCACAGCGGAAGCAATTTTAGAAAGTAAGATGTTTGCAAACGTTTAGCAGCGATAAAGTTAGTCAAGGCTCCAACATCACTGTAGACGACTCGCCTCATAACTGTTCCATTCCTGTGTCAATGGAAATCACACAAAATGTCCTTTACTGTCCCATTTGAAAACTTGTCAGTCCAGCAGAATCTTGAAGCTTGCACACAAGTTGAAATACATAAGGCAGCTGTCAGATGTGACAAGTAGAAAATTATGCCTGTCTCACCAATTTAAGTTTGGAAAGCTCTGCTCTACACACTGCCACCAGTTCACACTTACCTTTCAGGATGATCGTCTTCAATAAGTTCTCTGCTTCTCTCACCCAGCTGACGGACCACCTCGGCGTAATCCTCCACATTATTCTCTAGCGTCTGGTGCTTCTTCATCATGTTCTGGGCACCGATCTCATCCTTGGCCCTCTCCTCGCCCATCATGTAGAGTTCCTGCTCACTCATCCAAGCCTCTGCCTCGGATGCATCAAAGTAGTACTAGGAAAAACAACAGAGTAGAAGCGTAAGTTCAACAGACACATATATTTTATGTGCCATCAAGAAAGATCTGCAAATCATGTATTTCCACTGACTGAACAACATAAACAGCACAGTGAAATACTACTTTACATTTCCAGCATGGGAATGTAAGAGGAGGCAGTCACTGCAGCTCTCCGATGGATTCCTGATATTCCAACCTAACTAATAATGCAGCCACAACTGAGGATCACTGCAGGTGTTTCTTCCGAAGGCTTGACAAACATGAAGTCATTACACCTGGTCATGCTATATTTCATGGAAACAAAAAAGCTGGATAATAACAGTAGATGACATAGGATACTATAGGCAGAAAAGCAGCTGACTGGCAGCATTAGAGATCTCATGTGTATAATCTTCTTCTTTTTATTCGTCCGAGTGACATAACTGCGCTGTACCTGTTTACAGCAAAGTTGGGGTATTTGCACCTTTCGGCCGACACATCCGACCTTCGTGAGCATTTGCTGACTGGGTTACCTGTGAATGAATGCCGCATGTCAACAGCAACAAGAAAAGGATACAGATAGATGCACACAAGCATGCTGAGCATGCTTTGTAGATAACAGTGAGCAGGTGAGAAAACTAAAGATACCTTGACCATCCCCTGCATCAATGTCTATCCCCGGCTGTCTGGACATAGACTAAAGATACCTTGATCATCCCCTGCACCAATGTCTATCCCCGGCTGTCTGGACATAGACTAAAGATACCTTGACCATCCCCTGCACCAATGTCTATCCCCGGCTGTCTGGACATAGACTAAAGATACCTTGACCATCCCCTGCACCAATGTCTATCCCCGGCTGACTGGACATAGACTAAAGATACCTTGATCATCCCCTGCACCAATGTCTATCCCCGGCTGTCTGGACATAGACTAAAGATACCTTGACCATCCCCTGCACCAATGTCTATCCCCGGCTGTCTGGACATTACTGCCCTGCTGGACCAAGACAAGCTGATACGAGACAGAAAGGTCAACACATGGTGAAACTCTAATCCTACCTATCCTATTTGTTGGCACCTTTCCCTTGTCCAGACAATAGTGTTCCACACGAAGTCATGGAAATAACATCCCATGCCAAAACCAATAGAGGCCAGTGTTGAAATTCCTTATCTCCGCAGCACAAAGTCTGGGCAATATTGTATAGACTATGTGCTGCATTACTTATGAATTACACAATTTAGTTTTTTACATAAAATTTCTGCATACATGGCCTTAAAACTTAAAAGAGTACTTGGCTGACAAAAGATACAATGAATTTTTATCAAAAATAAAACACAAACCTGCTGAGCAATCTCTGACAACTTGAGTCTGTGAGTGCGCTCATCCACAGCATCCTTCAACTCTTGCCACCGCTGCAGAAGTTCGTTGATAAGTGTTTGGAATTCCTCAGACTGGTAGTGGCCAGCGTCGATCAATTCCTGGCCGACCTGTACCACGGACATGATTCGGGGCTCATGGTTCTCAATCTCCACCTGTAGTGACTGTTTCAGACAGAAGATCTCATTACTAAACAACTGTGCAGGAACATGCAACTTGACAGTAACAATCACACAAAGCTAACATTTTTAAACTCAACAGGAAAATAATTAAACAATTTAAATTTTCTATAAATGTAATGTTACTGTCTGATGTTATGTTTAATATTAACAAAAAAACATGAAAACTATTAAACTGAGGTATGTATTTTACAATAATCTATGACACATGAACAACTCATATCATTATTTCTGTGATTTGAAAATACAAAATAATTTCAGCTGCTCTGCTGACACTGCTTAAGAAGCTCTCTCTAAACAAATGATAAAAGAGAGGAAAACAGGCAGGCCTCTATCTGTGCATGAATCATCATGATCAAGGCGCCTGTGTCTAAAATGGGAGAACTTGCTATCCAATCTAGCAGACAAACCAGCTTACCGTAAATGCACTGAAAAGTTTATTGTTTCTGGCTAGGGTTTGCTGATGCAAATTTCCCGTCCGTCAATTGCAAAAAAAAAAAAAAACATAACCTGCACAGTAGGTGGTGACCGCATTAGCCATGTTGCCCTGAATCCTCAGGCACATGACCTTCGGCCCTACACCGCCTTAAAAGCGGTTAAAAACAGGCAGTACAGACAGTGATAAAGATCTCGTTTTCCTTACATGGTTTTTCTTGATGAGCAGCTGGACAGAGAGCAGACTGTTTCCGTAATCCTGGCTGGATGCTCGAGGCATCATCTCCGCTATCCACAACTTCTCATCCTCCACATCCCGCATGAACTGGTGGATACGCTTCACCTTCTCCAGATTGGAACGGCGCAGCAACAGCGGACCTTGGATCTTGGCAAACCTGATGGTAGGTAGAGTAAATGTTGTAATATTATATACTATTTTCTAGTCACAGTCAATCAAATCTATCACCACACACAGAGTATGTAATGTGGACAAAAAACCACACTACAGCTGAGCCATGAAGAACTAAAACAATTACTAAATAAGCTACAATCATTCACTGGTGCTTGTACAGAACAGAAGGCATTAAATGGTATGAGAGAATCATTAATGCTGAGCTGAGGAAGAAATCTTTAAACAATCCAGCAAATCAAGTCAGGAATTATGCTGGTGTTGGAAAGAACAAGTACTGAGAAAAGCTCATAATATAACTAAAAAGTTTTTGCTCTGAAACCTAGAAGGCAAAATAAATAGAGAAATAAAAAATAGAAAGAAGAGAAGAAATAGAGAAGTAAATTACAATGGTGCGTGCATGAGTGTACATAGGCGGGAAGAGGTGGGGGTTCAGGCCAATGTGCAGACGTCAAAAGAATATATGACTTGGTCTAAGTTGGTTGAGGACATATGCTCCAATGCAGCATAAAGCGCAGAAGAAGTCTGAATAATGTTGCCTGGGAAGGCTAAGTGGGGCAACAAATGCCTGAAGAGGTCAGACATGAAGGCTGAAAGGTGTCAAGACTGCATCCAGACTGTAAACAGGCATAACGCAACACTTCATCAGACGAATGAAACAGAAAAAGAATCATGTTACCATAAAGAAGAATGATGTGACCATCTTCCCTTCTCCCTTAACTGTAACAATCTCTGACATGTGCCCCTTTGCAAACAATGTTCTTATCCTAATGAAACAACGGAGATATTTCTCAACATGCGTCTTCTACTTTCAAATTTCTTGGACAGCTATCTCCAATCTCTAATATATACTATATAGATCCTTGAGGAAAAAATTGAAGATATGCACTTTCATAAGCATGGTGCTTAAGCTGCCAGGTCTGGAGACAACAGCAGCCCTGGGAACACTACCAGCATGATGAAGATGGAAGTTAGTGTACACATGATACATTCATTGCAACAATGACAAGACAGCACTGTTCACCTCTGAGCCACTAAAGCCCTCCTGGCTTCGATCTCATCCTCTTTGTCAGGCTCCAGTCTGCGTAGATGCTCACTCTGTGTCTCCAGCTCCTGAACTTGTTGCTCCTTCATCTTCATTTGGTTCTCCAGTTGCTGTTCACAGAAACACATAAATGCTTTCAAACTATCTTCTTTAAAACAAGAAAGGGAAAAATAAAGCCATTCCCAAGGCAGACACTACAGCAAGGATGTCTAGTTAAACCTTGTAAACACAAATTCCAAGGCACACACACACACACACACACACAGAAGTAACTAAAAACCCATGTTAAAAAGAAAAAACTGTGTGCTAACCAGGAACTAACAGTAATATTAGTCATGTTGGAACCTGTAATGAACTACCAAAACTTCAGACAGAACATTTCTCGTTCTCTGTATTTTATACCCTATTCTATTACCTGTGGATTCATGAATGTGATCTCGTAGTTCACGTGATAACATTCACTGCACGAATCCCTTACGTTAGTCATGTCTATTGTGACTTTTGGCCACTCAATCTGCTGTACATAATTTATGATCAGCAATCTTATATAATTTATGCTGAGTAATCTATCCTAATTTTCTCGCCAAAATTCTCTTTATGTTAACAGTCTTCTTCTTAAGCGAGTTCATGTTAATGAGGTTTCACTGTATAAATTATGTCTTCACATTTACTAGGTCAACCCCTTGTGGGTTCCAGGGCCACACTGTGGGGAAAAACAAGAACAGACCTACTGCCTCCCAAACAAGCATGGCGTAAGAGTCGACAAACTGGACACTTTTTTTTTTTAAAGTGTATATGCTTGAGAGGCAAGGAACCAACAATCTGCACACACACACAAAAAAAATCTGTATAACAGATGTGCACGCAACACTCAGGTTCTGGATCAAGACTAAAAGTCCAGAGGTGGGTTAACAACCAGAACTTTCCTCTGGAGTTTACAGCCGGTGAATGGAAAAAGATACAAGGTCACATCACATGTAGGTAGAGGTCACATGCTGCAGTGTTCAGTCTTTTATTTTCAATACGCAGTCACCTGTTATCTATTTGACAAAGTTGTGCTGTCTATTGGTGCACACAAACCATATTCTGGTCAGTACATGCCCTCACCACTAAACCATCGCAGGTTATTGTTTCATCTAAGAATTGTTTTGTTTCAACACTATGACTACTACTTTCCTGTGACAAAACCCAGAGTAGCAACATTTTTATCAGTTGCTGAGACACCTATATTATATTTCTGAAGGTGAAGACTGAATGACAGCTCAAGAAAGATTGTCAGATAAAGTTTAGTTAACATAGGATACCTATTTAAAGTTTAGATTACACAGGATCTTCTTTATATCAAGTTTAGATGACACAAGATTTATATACAATTTAGATACCATAAGGTATATGTGTGTGTGTGTGTAGTTTACAAAAGAGGATCTTTAAAAAAAAGTTTACATAACAGAGGATCAAAATAAAAAATTCAGCTAACATGTTTCATTAGCAGGACCTGTTCCTAAAATTAAGACTAACTTTCTATTCATCTATCACCTACTGACAACAATAGAATGTTGTTTAACCTGGCATGTTCAACCTAACACAGTGACAACTTACATTCTGTTTCTGTACTTGAAGATTGACTGTAGTCAGATCTTTACCAAAGTCTTCAGAGGTGACAATCTGTGACTCCAGAGCAGACACCCATCCATCAACATCATCACAACTCTGCTGGTAGAGGGTGGATCTGTTGGCGTCAAACAAGCGCTCACCCTTCTCCTTAGTGGTGGTTTCCAGGTCCTCCCACTGACTGGCCAGATCTGCCAGCATAGGCTCAATCTGATCCCGGGTCTCTGGCTTGGACTGTATGATTGCTTCGCCATCCTAGTCAGGGAATATTGCAAGAAGCAGGTGAAAGCATCAGTGATCAGAAGAATAGTCATTAAGTTATCCAACAATACCATGTAATCTAAATTTCTTCAAGCCACTTCTTCGTCACTTCCTCTTTCACCACTTGAGGTGTCAAGGGAGGTTAAATACAAGTCTGAAATAAATACATTAGGCCACAGAAGTTTGCTGTGAAACTTTCAGATTATTTCACTAGGCTTGTCTTCTTTAACTTGAGATACAAAGACACAGCAAATGATGGATGCAGCTGGGAAATTATGGCTTGGTGGCTGGAGCAGGATCAGCTGCCACAGCTGAGCAAATGTCCACTCAATGTCCAAGTAATGGTCCTAAAAATGGCAGAGTCCAAGTGTGTAGGAAGAGAGAAGACAACCTGGTCCTAAACAATACAGAGCTACAGTAGGAAGTGTCACCCAAACGTTACAAATACTGCAGTTTCACAGTTTCTCCTGGGAAAGTAAAGACAGCCGGCGTAATGCTGACCACATTACCCACAGAGTGCTGATGGTCTGTAAAAATATAGGACGCTCTGCCCATATGCCCGATGCGCCGAAAGGCATGAAAAGGGAACTTTACTTTACTTACTGGCCCAGCGCTAGAGATGAGTAATGTCATGAATGCTATGTGAGATACATATCGCAAAGATGAAGATCACAACAAGCAGGATTTAGACTCCTTTCCCAGGTTGGTGGACATGTGAGTGCAAGCTGGAGCATCCAGACATAAACATTTGACCTAGCGCATAAGATGTCTGTTTAACCAAAACAGAACAGGCATGATTAGCTGTTTTATTCTTGTGCAGCTACTGAGAAGGTGATCGGAGCACCTATGGCTCTGTCCGGAGTGCTGTGATGACAGTCCTCACTAATAACCAACATATACTTTAACAATCAAATAAAACTGGCAACCAAAAAGATATAAATCTTTGAACCTACTCTAATTTTCTCTGGATGATTTGTTCTCTTTCATCTATATTCTGGTTTTTTTTTTTTTTCTTATTGTTTCATTCATTTATTGTTCTGTTGTGCTAATATATGTCACATAGGACTCACATTCTTTCTCCCTTCCTTCTTATCCTGTGCAACCACTACAATATCATGAATGTAATCCAGTTCAGTTTCTCAAGGACGTCCTTGTTTTCTCAATCCATCTATTTCCCATTTCCGTGTCTGTTTGGCGAATCTCTGTCTCCTCTGATAATGTCTCCAATCCAGCACCACCTTCTCTGTCTTATAAGTGCTGATACTAGTGGTTGACTTTTCTCTTAACTCTTCTTTTCTCTTGAATGCATTTCATTTTATGTTTATAGCCTAGTATTTGCTTCTTTCAATGGGGACATCATCTATCTTCCTCTGTCATTTTATGTCATGATACATTTATGAGGATGTTACATTGTTCTCTGTGGCTGTGTCAACACAGCCGTTGTTTTCTAGGTCAAAGGCAAGGAAAGCAGCTATTTCTTTGCTCTGTTCCAGTGAAAAAATCCATCCTTTTTAGGGACGGGAGCTACAATGATGCAATAGCTGGCATGCTTGCCTGTCTGCTCGGAGGTCTTAGGTTTCAACGGCCTGGCTTTGTATTTTTTTTTTAAATGACCAAGATTACAAATTTCTTCTGCTTCTTAATGAAGGGTTTCAAACAATTATAACAATGTGTTTTTTTTTTTTTTTTTTTTTTTAAGTTTTTTTAAGTTTTGAAAACTATTCACAAAAAAAAAAAAAAAAAAAGATTTTTACGAGACAAAAGGGTTAAGAAGGTATTGAGAGAGAAAAAAACAGAACTTTACCTCTACAAGCCGATTGAGCCTGTCTTTATTTGCAGCAATCTCTGATTCAAAAGCCTTGTGCCTGACATATTTGCTGTGTAGATTCTTGGCATCTCTGTAGGTTTCATCCTGAGCTGCAGCCATCTTGTCCTGAAGCCAGTCTCGTACCTACGGAAACAAAAACACACATACAATAACTGAATCTTTCCTCACATACATAGAGTGGGGAAATGGAAAAAGAGAATGACACGCCCCTAAGATTCAGGTAAGTACTTTCAGTTTCTATCCCACATACTTTTTCTTCTTTGCTTATTCACGTTCAGCAGCTGTAAACTTCCATGGAAAGTTCTGGTTGTTCATCCACTTCTGAACTTTAGTCTTTTTTCCAGAACCTGAGTTCTGCATGCACATCCATTATTGCAGATCTGGTTTATTTTTATGCAGACTGCTGGTTCCTTGCCTCTCAAGGAGATGCACTCTGATTTCAAAGGAACGATCCCTAATTAGTTGGCTCCCTTAGACATGTTTGTAAGGGAGCAGTGGGTGTATCCCTCACACAATTTAACCAGAGTCCCACACAAACCATCCATCTGCACTACAAAACTTGATTGTTTTGAACCCTGGGTGTTCTCCCACACATGTTTCTTTTGTCTGACTGTCACGATCTACCATCTCAACATGGCAGAATCATCATAATCTGTTGCTGGTCTTGTGGTCTCTGTGGTGAAGCAATCATGTCATTTGTCTCCATGTCTGAAGATCCTAGTTTGAGGACTGCCTTGTTCAGTCATCAGCAACAAAGTTTTGGGGATTCCCGGGAATCCCCGCTACAGCTACACAGTTCATACTTTGTGCAAAAAAAAATCAACAAATGATCTGATGTGTTTACCGGTCCCATATTTATTCCTACTCCTCATTCACCTTGAGCTAGGCAGGGAAAACAACTGCCAGTTCTACCGGTACTGACCACTGCTGCAGTGTCGGCAGGGAAAACAACTGCCAGTTCTACCTGTACTGACCACTGCTGCAGTGTCGGCAGGGAAAACAACTGCCAGTTCTACCTGTACTGACCACTGCTGCAGTGTTGGCAGGGAATGGGGGGGGGGGGGGGGGGGGGGGTAATTTAGGAATATTTAGGCCTGCATGGCTAGTGCTACAGACGGTGAAGGTTAGGGTTTTCTTTTGCCCCCGACAGAAAAAATCCCCAACCTTAGAGAAGATTCAAACCCAGGCCATCTGCTTGAGAGCCCAGTATTCTAACCTTCAACCTGCCGCTCCTCAGCCAGACAGAAACTTATTTTGAGTTCACATATACATATTAACCAATGTGGGATAACACGCTCCTCAGCCAGGCAGAAACTTATTTTGAGTTCACCAATGTGAGATAACAGTCACAAACTCACCTCATCACATTCTTGCAGGAACTGTTGTAATGTCAGCTGGTCCCTGAGTTTGTCCAGCTGTTCGTCAGCCCTTTGTCTGTTCTGGTTTCTCCTAGAAAACATAGAGAAAATGTTGACTGACTTCATAAAACAAGTTTTTACAGAACATACAACTTAGAAAACAGACCAATGACAGATTTCATGAAACAAAACTGAACACAATACATGTCACACTGATGCTGTTATTAAAAAAAAAAAAAAAACATGGACCTTAAATTTTCAAACATTTACTTCATGAATAATGTAGGACAGCAACAATCTTTAGATCAATTTTATACACATGGCACTGACTGAAAAGTCACATCTCGCTCACATCTTACCTTTCAGTGACATCTCAGACCTTACCTTTCACACTCCTATCTTACTCTTCACTGACGCACATCTCAGAGACTCAGATTCTACCTTTCACTGACTCACATCTCACAGACTTGGATCTTACCTTTTAGTGACATCTCAGAGTCAGATCTTACCTTTCACACTCCTATCTTACTCTTCACTGACGCATATCTCAGAGACCCGGATCCTACCTTTCACTGTCTCACATCTCAGAGACTCAGATTTCACTGATTAACATCTCACAGACTTGGATCTTACTTTTCACTGACTCGCATCTCACAGACATATTTCACTGACTCATTTCTAACAGTCTCGAATCCAACCTTTCGGTGATTAACATCTCACAGACTTTGATCTTACCTTTCACTGACTCACATCTCAGAGACTCAGATTTCACTGATTCACATCTCAGAGACTCAGATTTCACTGACTCTCATTTCAGAGGCTCAGATTTCACTGACTGACATCTCAGAGACTCAGATTTCACTGACTGACATCTCAGAGACTCAGATTTCACTGACTCACATCTCAGAGACTCAGATTTCACAGACTCAAATCTCTGATACTCAGATTCTACTTTTTCCTGTCACAGACTCTGATCTTACCTTTCACAGACTCATATGTCACAGACTCTGATCTTACCTTTCACAGACTCACATGTCACAGTCTTTGATGCTACCTTTCACAGACTCACATGTCACAGACTCTGATCTTACCTTTCACAGACTCACATGTCACAGACTCTGATCTTACCTTTCACAGACTCACATGTCACAGACTCTGATCTTACCTTTCACAGACTCACATGTCACAGACTCTGATCTTACCTTTCAAAGACTCACATGTCACAGACTCTTATCTTACCTTTCACAGACTCTGATCTTACCTTTTACAGACTCACATGTCACAGACTCTGATCTTACCTTTCCCAGACTCACATGTCACAGACTCTGATCTTACCTTTCACAGACTCACATGTCACAGGCTCTGATCTTACCTTTCACAGACTCACATGTCACAGACTCTGATCTTACCTTTCACAGACTCACATGTCACAGACACTGATCATACCTTTCACAGATTCACATGTCACAGACTCTGATCTTACCTTTCACAGACTCACATGTCACAGACACTGATCATACCTTTCACAGACTCACATGTCACAGACTCTGATCTTACCTTTCACTGATAGCTTCTGCCTTTCTGTGGATCTTCTCCTTGTCATAGTGGTTCTCATCGATCAGCCTGTTGGCAAACTGCAGGACTGCATTGATCTTCTCATCATTGGCATCCATGGTGGTGATGAAAGCTTCATGACGTTTGATGACATTCTCCGCCGCCTGTACTGAAGTCTGCAATAATATTACAAGATAAATGACAAGAGGAAACTTACACTTTGAATACATGATGTTGTAGACATAAACCAGTCTAGTAACAATTCATCTATAAAACATGCTTAACATGAGACAGAAAAATCCAAATCTGTTATTATTAATATTGACATTGATAGATACATCAAGACATGGTGCTTAATTCCAGTAGTTTGTGGATGGATATTTATGGATGTAATTCCAGTAGTTTGTGGGTGGATATTTATGGATGTAATTCCAGTGGTTTGGGGGTGGATATTTATGGATGTGTGATCTCGATAATGTAGTTGTAAATAAGATCTCCCAGTCTCCCCCAGTGATTCTGAGTATGGGGACAGCTAACTGACGAGGAAGGTCATTAGGCACTTCATTTTATACAGAATGTGAAATAATATCTGTGAACACATCCGTAACATACTTCCTAATCAGCAATGTTAGCTCTGCATGAACTATATGGATGAACTATATGGATAAACTATATTGTAACTTCAAGATCAACAACTCATAACATTGGCAATAGAAAACATCAGCACACTGGAGCAGCTAAATACTCCAAATGTGGGAAAGCAGTCATGCCAGAGCCTAGTGACACAAACTCACTAAACTCAGATCCCAAGTGCACCTTAACCTTTCATGCTCAAAGTTTAGCTCAACAACAAACAAACAAACAAAATTCCAATTTATTAATAATGACTACTGCTAAACCTGGTTTGGACCAATTGACTAGCACAAGTAGAACAAAACCAATAAATCAACAGTGGCCACAAATATGTGCACACCCACTATGAGATAAAAACAAACTCTTCCATTAGGGGGATACGACACCGAGATCTCTGACCTGGCAGGGCAACATGTCGGCCACTGTGCCCGTGCCAGGCAGATCCCAACTTTTATAAAAAGTTAGCTGTATAACATTTTCAGTACTTCACAAACCCATGGAGGTATTTATTGGCTGTTTGCTGTTTTACTGGGCAATCCAATAGTCTGGCATCCCAAGGAGAAAACAGATCCATAATATTGGTCAAACAAGCATATAAAATATAAACAAACTCAAATTATGCATTAATATGGTCTTAGTGGCAATCGACTATATCTACAGTCTATGGTTTTTTTGGGTTTAATGGTGCTTAGAAAATATTAAATAATTAGGTAATGTTAGAATGAAACAAAACCAAAAAAAAAAATTTGTTTTTATAGAAAATATCAGTTACAGATAAAAACGCAAAGCCATATAGCCAAAAGGCTGTGCAAAAAGCAAATTTCACTGATGTAGTACAAATACATACACATAGTAAAGATAATGTAACATCTGTGAGTAAGCAACATAAAGAGGAATTAGGCGATGTACAAGTCTGCAAATATACAGACGAGACTAACTGGTGTACGAGTCTGCAAACATACAGACAAGATTAACTGGTGTACAACTGTAAACATACAGACAAGATTAACTGGTGAACAAGTCTGCAAACATACAGATGAGATTAACTGGTGTTCAAGTCCGCAACCATACAGATGAGATTAACTGGTGTACAAGTCTGCAAGTCCGCAAACATACAGAAAAGATTAACTGGTGTACAAGTTCGCAAACATACATTGACTCAAATACAAATATCCCTGTGTGGGTTCGGGGGCCCTATTGTGGGGAAAACAAAATTTTACAGCCAGCGAACACGAAGAAGAAGAATAAATATAAATATATACACAAATAATAATGAAATTAGTGAATGAGGCTGAACATACTGCCTGACATTTTATAATAAGCATGTAAAAGGTTAGGAGTTGTGTTGCTTCACACAACATGCTGCAATACACAGACAGTGAATGAAGCTAAGCAAGCCAAAACAAACAAAACAATTTTCTTAATATCCCTTCTAAGGACAATAGAACTTAACAGTTTTGTATTGTATAGCCTGTCTACCCATATTGAATCATTATCATCATCCAGTGTCATCTCCACAACTGAGGTTAACAATAATAGATTACAGGCAGTTTTCATCTGAAGCCTTCTTTGTAAAAACCAGCTCTCCTTAATTCAAACCATATTTTTATATTGCTTGTCATTTATGTTTGGTGCCTTCTTTTGTCCACAAATGCTTTTTTCCAATATATTACAATAATTTGTTGCATCATTTGATGTAGCTAAAGTGCCTTGGCTTCCTCAAGTTGATTCCTTTTATCAGTTCTCAAGTTACATACTTCTGTCTGTCTGCACTGTCCCCTCAAGAAACTGATCTCAGCTTGTTTCATGCCTCTGTACTACATACACACTTCCAGTTACCATGCTTCCCACAGGAGGATACCAGTGTTTGGTTAGTTTCCTTCCTCTTATTCACTTCAGAGGTCGAGGGAGACATAAGGTTCTGCTCCCTACTCTTCTGGCTACCTTGACTACAGACATATGGTGCTGTTCTATGTTAACTTCCCATTTTGCTTATAGTGTGCTCTACGTCCTCTTGTAGTGTATGCTTCATATGGTGTGGCATCACAAGGCATTCTCTTCCAGAAGGCAAACTATTTTATTTGTTGTCTCTGTATGTAATTTAGTATTAGTTCCATGCCGACTTGTTCCCTGAAGACCTCATTCCTGATTTTGTCTCGTCCGGTTACTCCTGCAGACATTCTTAGACATCTCATTTCCATGGTTCCCAATTTTCTGTTGTTTGTTGTGAGTGACCATGTCTGGCACTTGTAGCACAGGGTGGGGATGAATATGCTCTGTATGAGATGTTTCTGTGTTGAAAGTAAAAAGCAGAGAGGATCGACTTTACTGCACAGGATTAACCCATATAGCTCAGTCTCTCTCTGCAGAACCCGCTGAAAGTGTCACACAAAGCACAAACTCCATTAGCTCCCGAGACAATCCCCATGAATCTCTGTAAAAACTACACTCCTGAACTGAACAGTGTATCTGTGAAATGAGCCAATCATCTTTAGAAACATATTCTGTGAAATGGTGAATTTACACCAAATAATTCACATACAAAACATACTTAGTAAAATTATGAGCACACATCAAACAATTCACACACAACATATTCTGTAAAACTATGAATATACATCAAACAATTCACATTCAACATACCCTATAAAATTATGACTAAAATCATTCACACAGAAAACATATGACAATACCTCATGATGAACATACATTAAACACTATATTATGTTCTTCGTTTTCTTTGTTCATTGGATTTAAACTTCGGCAAAAAGTCCTGGTTGTTTGTCCATTTGGGCTTTGTGTCAGGACCTGAGTTTTGCATGTACATCCGTTTTACTGTCTTATTTGTGTGCACTTGGTTGTTCCTTGCTGCTCGGGCACCCAGTTAGTCAGCTCCTATGACATGCTTGTTATGGAGACAATGGGTCTATTCTTGCTTTCCCCACAAGGGGTCCTGGACCCCCCCCCCCCCCCCCCCCCCCCCCACAAAGAATATTATTTTTTAGCTAGTCTCCTTCTGTCAAAAAAATATAGGAGGCCAGTAGCCTTGATGAAGGCTGCTCTGCAGTCCAAAGCTTAGTCATAACCTGATTCAAATATCTGCCCAGAGAAGTCGCAAAACTGACACTTCCAGTTTGTTTCATGTCCCTGTAAATGTCACTTAACCGCGAAACTGCTAGGCTGATAATCAGTATTTATATCAGTATCTCATTCTTCATGTTTTCTCATCTGAATTCTTTACCTTAGGTACGAGTGAAATTTTCAATGTAGACTACATGTGACCATGACCTAACCTCTAACAATGGGACAAAAGAAACAGCCTTATGGACAAGTATAAAAAAAAACAATGACAACAATGCACGTTTAAAAGGCAAATCATGTTACCTGCTTATCTAGAGGAGCAACCTGTGATCGGCAGTCGACAAGACAAACCAATGGAAGTTAATCAAGTACGACAGAAGAGTTGCAAATACACATCAAGTATAAATAATACAGAATGACAGTTTGAACATAAAGAAATGATCCGAAGCGATGAAAGGTGAAGCGGCAGGAAGTTGATACCAATCACCACCATTATTGTACATCTAATGTGACACCAAATATTTATTCTATCCCCTGACCAACAAATACTGAAGCACCTGAATAAAGTGGATACGGATCACCACCATTATTGCACATCTTATGTGACACCAAATATTTTTTCTGTCCCCTAACCAACAAACACTGAAGTACCCAAAATAAAGTGAGACAAGGAAATCCAAGAATGATGTCGAAGAGAATAATGAAGTACAACAAGCCAGATACCTAGTAGTAAAGTTAAGTAAAGATCCCTTTTCACGCCTTTCGGCGCATCGGGCATATGGGCAGAGCGTCCCATATTTTTACAGACCATCAGCACTCTGTGGGTAATGTGGTCAGCATTACGCCGGCTGTCTTTACTTTCCCAGGACAGTCCATCCTGGTACCCATTTTAGGCTGGGTCGACCTGCGACGTCCCATACCACGACAAAAATCCATGCAGCCTGCAGTGGGTTTCGATCGCGGCATGCTGGCTTACGAGTCGGACTCGCAACGCCTTAGCCACGGACGCCGCAAGATACCTAGAAGGTACAAAAAGATTGGAGGCAGAGGGGAAATTAGAAATTCAGAAAGAATAAGGAAGCACAAAAAAGAAGTAACACAGACAGACTCTGATGAAAAGATGTGAAGCCGAGGGTAAATCTAGGAATTCAGAAAGAATAAGGAAGCACAAAAAAGAAGTAACACAGACTCTGAGAGGGGATGAAAAGATGTGAAGCCGAGGGTAAATCTAGGGATGTCAGAGAGAATATGGAAGAACAACAACAGGTACCACAGACTGAAACCTAGAGGGGATGAAAAGATGTGAAGTCGAGGGTACATCTAGGGATGTCAGAGAGAATATGGAAGAACAACAACAGGTACCACAGACTGAAACCTAGAGGGGATGAAAAGATGGGAAGTCGAGGGTAAATCTAGGGATGTCAGAGAGAATATGGATTTTCAGTTAAAATATTGCGAGGCCTATACACATGCAAATACTGTATATTTACAGCAATAACGAATAACATATTAATTCTACAAGATTAGTGATGTGTGCTGACAAGCTGAAAACAAGTTCTCTATAAGTGCACCCGACATTCAATGTAACCAACTACCGCACACTAGGTGGCTACCAAAGAACTACAATTCCTTTATATCAGCTACATTAATGTGTTATATGCAATAATAAACAATCAAGCAGAAAAAGATGTTATATTGTATATTTGCGTTAAATTGTCAATAATAAATGATTTCATAAGGTGTGTTTACTGCTTTCCAATAGCTGTCAGCGACTGTCGGGGGTACTGGCGACAGACCCCGGGTGATTAAATATAACTCGAGGACATCTTCTACTTCCTGAAAATACAAGTAATCAAGGCTGAGTAGGGTCACTACTCTCAAGTTGTCGACAAATGATTTGGTACAACCAATTAAAGGATCCTTTCCCACAGTTGGCCATCACCTCTAAACAGTACAATGGTACTCATCTCATTCCTCCTGTAACTATAAACAGCAGCCTCTCTTAACCTATCCATTAACTGTTTTACACAGTAAGCCTCTCTTTTGATTGAGTTGGTCTGCAGATCACTGCAGCATGTTGTTGAATACTCTTAGCTGCCAGTTTGCAGTTTCTCATTTCCCTTTTTTGTTTCTGATGAAATCTAGTGCTACCAATATTCTGATTGTCTTTTTTGATTTTATCATTTCTGATCTTCTCCCTCCTTCATACTGAGTGCTTTTCTGCTGAATATCATTTTAGCTTTGGCTCTTCCAGTCCAGTATGGCAGATCACTAACAAATCATCGATGCTATGAAATGATGTTTGTTCCCATGCAGGGTTTGCTGATGCTATGAAAAGATGTTTGTTCGCATCCAGGGTTTGCTGATGCTATGAAATGATGTTTGTTCCCATCCAGGGTTTGCTGATGCTATGAAATGATGTTTGTTCCCATCCAGGGTTTGCTGATGCCAATTCTCCCTTTTCTGGATTAAGTCTAAAAATTGTGTTGCCCAGTTTTGTGTTGTTACCTGAACCAAAAATGGTGGGTGATCGATTACATTCAAACTGGAGTGTACTTATGCAGTACTGTGTGCAAAGCCAGCTTATGTAACTAACTGTTTGCCTCAACAGTGAGCTGTAGTTCTGGTGTGGGACTGTTAGTGTTGACACATCTTACAACTGCCTGATGTGTTTACTTTGCATGTGCAAGTTTCAAGCTTTTGCTGAGCCTGGTGTGTTTTTACATAGCGATAACAATAGACATTTTGTGTAATTAGCGCTGGCACAAGAATGGAACAGTTATGGGGTGATCCGCCTGCAGTGTAGCTGGCACCTCAACTAACAGCGATGATCTTAGCACTAATTTGTATTTTCTGTTTTTGTGCGTGCGCGTGCTCACGTGCACGCTCGTGTGTGCATGCATGTTGTGTGTTTTGTGGGTCATATTGTTCAACAGACTGGCTTCAGAAAAACCTCAATTAAAAAACTAGTCAAGTGATAAGATGATGGAAGAACCAAAACTCGGTGTAGACTAGTAGCCCACACATCTGGTTATCATTGACTGGTTTAATCTGCTACATTTATTGGAGTTAGCCATGCAGCACAGCATTCTTTTTCTGTGAGAGTAATAGCTTGTAATAACTTACAACTTGTTTACTAAGATTTGTTTTTAAATATTTCCTAAAATACAGAAATGTCTCCTATAACGTGTAAACACCTACAGCAGGTACTCAATGAATGGCACAATATCTTTTGGGACTGATCAAGTTAGGAAGCTATCCAGCTATCTCCTTCTCTAGATGCATGCCATGCAAACAAACCCACTCAGCTGCCGGACAGCAAAGACAGGTAAACAGAAACATAGACAGGCAATCAGACATTCACTGTTTGAGAGACTGAAAAAGGAAGTCATTCAGACTATTCAATTTTGTGCAATATTTACTATATGCAACTTAAGGGCAAGAAAATTAACCAGGGGGGGGGGGGGGGGGGGGGGGGGGGGGGATATTGTGTGCATTTTTAAAAAGGGTTGGAGGGCTTCAAGAATCAGTCACATGTATAAATATGGGCTTCAGAATCAGTCACAAATATAAAAATGAGCTTCAAGAATAAACCATAATCATAAGTGCTTCGTTGTACTTACGGGCACTTCCTCCTTGGACAAGAAATTGTCTTGCTGGTTGAGTAGAACTTCAGCTTGTTTAGCATCACGCAAAAACATCTGGCAGAGAAAGTGACATAACTGAGTTATTTTCATGTTAGAAAACCATCTAGGATAGGAAGTGACATAATCAAGTTATTTTCATGATACAAAAACATCTAGGATAGGAAGTGACATAACCGAGTTATTTTCATGATACAAAAACAACTAGGATAGGAAGTGACATAACCGAGTTATTTTCATGATACAAAAACATCTAGGATAGGAAGTGACATAACCGAGTTATTTTCATGATACAAAAACATCTAGGATAGGAAGTGACATAACCGAGTTATTTTCATGATACAAAAACATCTAGGATAGGAAGTGACATAACTGAGTTATTTTCATGATACAAAAACATCTAGGATAGGAAGTTACATAACCGAGTTATTTTCATGATACAAAAACATCTAGGATAGGAAGTGACATAACAGAGTTATTTTCATGATACAAAAACATCTAGGATAGGAAGTGACATAACCGAGTTATTTTCATGATACAAAAACATCTAGGATAGGAAGTGACATAACCGAGTTATTTTCATGATACAAAAACATCTAGGATAGGAAGTGACATAACCGAGTTATTTTCATGATACAAAAACATCTAGGATAGGAAGTGACATAACCGAGTTATTTTCATGATACAAAAACATCTAGGATAGGAAGTGACATAACCGAGTTATTTTCCTGATACAAAAACATCTAGGATAGGAAGTTACATAACCGAGTTATTTTCATGCTACAAAAACATCTAGGATAGGAAGTGACATAACCGAGTTATTTTCATGATACAAAAACATCTAGGATAGGAAGTTACATAACCGAGTTATTTTCATGATACAAAAACATCTAGGATAGGAAGTGACATAACAGAGTTATTTTCATGATACAAAAACATCTAGGATAGGAAGTGACATAACCGAGTTATTTTCATGATACAAAAACATCTAGGATAGGAAGTGACATAACCGAGTTATTTTCATGATACAAAAACATCTAGGATAGGAAGTGACATAACCGAGTTATTTTCATGATACAAAAACATCTAGGATAGGAAGTGACATAACCGAGTTATTTTCATGATACAAAAACATCTAGGATAGGAAGTGACATAACCGAGTTATTTTCCTGATACAAAAACATCTAGGATAGGAAGTTACATAACCGAGTTATTTTCATGCTACAAAAACATCTAGGATAGGAAGTGACATAACAGAGTTATTTTCATGATACAAAAACATCTAGGATAGGAAGTGACATAACCAAGTTATTTTCATGATACAAAAACATCTAGGATAGGAAGTGACATAACCAAGTTATTTTCACATTTGGTAACAGTTCCTCTGTAGCTTCTACACAATTTCTTACTAATTCCTGTCTACAAACCAAGAATCTCCTGACCGCTTATGATTCATGTCTACACATCAAGAATCTCCTGACCGCTCATGATTCATGTCTACACATCAAGAATCTCCTGACTGCTCATGATTCATGTCTACACATCAAGAATCTGAGTGCTCACTATTCATGTCTACACATCAAGAATCTGAGTGCTCACTATTCATGTCTACACATCAAGAATCTCCTGACCGCTCATGATTCATGTCTACACACCAAGAATCTCCTGACTGCTCATGATTCATGTCTACACACCAAGAATCTCCTGACTGCTCATGATTCATGTCTACACACCAAGAATCTCCTGACTGCTCATGATTCATGTCTACACATCAAGAATGGCTTAACTTACATCCAACTAACCGCTTTTCACTTTAATTCATACAGATTTATTGCACAGAATATTCATCCCAAGGGATGCAGCCTTTTCTAAATTCTTCTTCTTCACTTCCTCTTACACAACTTTGGGTTTTGAAGGAGATATAAGGTACTGCTTCTTGCCTTTCTGGTCACCTCGACCATCATAATGCCATACTGTTGTAAGAGTTTCTCTGATACTATCTTTCTGCCTTGTTCCTGGTATTCTACATCTCTATAATATCTTTAATACACTTTCTATCTTGAAGCCTGAAGTCTAGAAGACAGAAAACAGTCACAGTGTGTTTCCACAAGTTACCATACCTGCAGGCTGAGAGACTGAGACAGCAGCTGTTGCCTGTTCTCCCACATCTGCAGAAGCTCGTGCCAACCATCATCTAGAGCTTGCAATCTCTGCGAACACAAGAAGAAGCATTAGATCCAGAACAGCATTCAACATTCAAGTACTGCATATATTTCAACCAACACTTCTGGAAAGCCAAGGCTCTAGTGTGATCTCTGTCATTTTCAGACTGAATATCTGTCGGCATGGATAAGTGTACTTGCTGGTTTATGAATTATCTCATGTCAAGCAGCTATCCAAACTTAACACTGGTTGGTGTTTCTTTTATTCATTCTTCTGTTTCTGTGTTTGTTCTTAGAAGGGTAGTTGTCAAACTGTGTTGTCATTAGGCTGCGATATATGTACCTTTTGTCCCAATATATGTCATTTCAGTAAACCCCTAAACAAGATCAAGAGATGAGTAACTTCTTCTTCTTCTACATTTGCCCTGGAAAGAGCAGTTGGAATGCTGTATTGTAGTTTAAAGCTATGCTGCAAATTCTGCACTTTTTTGCCCATCTGATCCAATTTTAACAAACCCCTAACTAGTCGCCTCTTAGGACATGTTTGTTGGAGTGGCAGCTGTTTTTTTTTTCTTTAAACCCCAAACTGTGCCCTGGAATCCACATGTGGAAGATGGATAACAATACTGTATCAGATAGATAAATAAATAAACAAATATACACACATGTGCGCACATTCTCTCTCTCAATAAATACGTAACAGTAGTCTACAGACTGAATATTTAAAAAAAAAAATTTTTTTTTTAAAGTAACTAAAGTATGAAGTGTACACACAAAACAGTCCATCTAAGTATGAAATGTACCACACACAAAAACAGTCCTTTTCCAAGCTTCAAATACACAAAGTCACCTGTCTAAGGAACATGTACTGAGGATCCTCTTCTCCCTCTGTGACTTTGTCCCCAAACTCCTTGATCTTGGCGTACTCTGGTGCATAGGTGTCAATCTCATCCCTCAACTGCTGGTGCTGATTGAGCAGTTTCTCAGCCTCTGCCAGCGAGTTGGGAATGTCCTCGGAAGCGACAGTGGTCTGTGTGCGAGACAACCAGGACTGGAAGTGGTCCAGGCTTCCCAAGAAGCGCTGTAGCTCTCCAGCTTCCCCAAGTTTCTCATCTCGTTCTTTGAGCTGCAAATAGTCAAGGAATTATTTATTTCACTCTCTCAGCTTCAGACTTGAGTGATTCCAAACAAACAAAAAATGTTACAGAATCAACCTAAATGGTTGTTGTGCTGTAACATAACAACATACGAGATATTAAGAAAACAAATTTTGAACTAGTCCAAAAATTCGGTCAGAATGATTGATGCTTGCTTTGCATAAAGATAAAATAGACTATTTATTCCTAATGTGTCAGAGAAATAAGTCTTTCCAGCATTTACCAAATATACTTATATCAATAAAATACTGACAAAGAGTAAAACAAACAAGTGAATTTAAATATCTAGGATCAATTTGGCAGTATGAGGAAACATTAGTAGAGAAATCAGCACACAATGTGATAAAGAAAACCAGGTCCTTGGACAACCTAATCACTTCTGACACACAGAAGTATACTTTTTTTCTATCAAGCCAAATCTAATCAGAAATACTTTTGGACAATTTTATGCTACCAGTTTCAAATCTGGACCTTAATAAGCGCAAAATCATAACAACAGAGATGAGATGTCTTAGAAGAGCTGCCGGAGTAACAAGTAATAAAATAAAATAAAAAACATTTGGAAAAGACTAGGACTGAAGCCAGTCATGTGGTTCATTAAATGGCAACCGGTGAAATGGTTTGGTCATCTGATGAGAATGCCCTGGTGCTAACTGCCACAGAGCCCATACTGAAGAAATAAAATGGTCACGTAGCAAGGCGGAAAACCACAGTAAGTATGGAACGATGCCATCAAAAAAGCCTCAACTCTTTCAGTCTCAGTTTCAAATTCGTCTATAATGAAACACAATGCAGTGTAAGAACAGAATCCGATAACTCTGGTTGCCAGTGGAAACAGAAGTGAAACAAGGCTGTGTCCTATCACCGATGCTCTTTGGAACAGCAGTCGATTGGGTCATGCACAAATGCTCAGAGCCAGAAATAGCATCCAGAATCGCACTGGCATCCAGTGCCTTTAACAAACTGTCAAATATCTAGAAGTCAAAGACACTCAGCAATCACACAAAACTGAAGAAAATTAGACAGTTTTGAGAACAAATGTCTGAGAAGTATACTAGATCTCCACTGGGCAGATTTCTGATCCAGTACGTAAATAAAACAAGAGACACATAAGACAATGTATCAAATTTTATAAGAAAGCGGCGCTGAAACTACATCAGCCATACACTGAGAATGGATAAGACAAAACTTTCCCATCAAGCCCTCATATGGACACCAGAAGTTTAAAAAAAAAAAACTGAAAAGACCAAGAGAGACTCTACGTAGAACCATCATCAGGGAAGGCTCAACCATGGCCTTACAAACATCCAAGACCTAAAGCAGGTGGCAATGAACCGCCAGACATGGAGAGTTGTGACCTCTGCCCTATGCGCCGCCCTAGGCCCAAAAGGAAAGACTAACTAACATGTGATGTTCCCTGTGGGATGTGCTGTTTAAATGCATGGTTAGTGCAGGCATCATTAGATCTTAGCCAAATACCTACCATATCTTTGAGATCCAACCAGACATTATTGATTTCTGCAATCTTGTCTCTGATAGCCTGAGCCTCCTCGGGTTTCTGCTCCTCCAACCTCTCAGCCTCACCCTGCAGGGACTCCAGCTGTTGGATGTAACATCAAAAATATGTCAGCTTTTGAGAAAATAAAAAACGGAGCAGTCTATTTAACTTTAAAAATTATTTTTACACTAAATAAAGTTATAAAAAAATATAAGTCAGAAAGAAGAAATAGTAAACACTCACACACACACACACAAAACACAGAAACATCAGTCATAAGAAAAGAAAATTCTAGAACAAGAAACCTATTGGACATCAGACAGACAGAAACTGTAAACATTTATAAACAAAGGAAACTTATCACAAAGCCAACAGAAAAGTCGACATTAAAGTACAGGATGCTTATCAATAACATCAGCAAGAAACATTTGACAGTAAAACAAAAAGAAACAAACTAGAAGCTCTTTACCAAACAGCAGGAATAAAAGAAAAGATTCAACAACAAAAATAAGACCAAAAATATGAAGGTGGAGAAGGAGAAGAAAAAGAAGAGGAGAAGGAGGAGAAGAATCATTCTGTAAAGGTCCTGCTAATAATGGTGAGATCTGGAAATGTTTCTCCTCAGGAAAAGACAGAAAATCCTTCTGGCAGAGGACAGCAATATTCTGCAAAAGTAGCTGGTACATGATGATGGATCTTTCTTCTTCTTCTGCGTTTACTGGCGGTGAACACTGAAGGAAAGTCCTGGTTAGTTGCCAGTATCTTGTTCCAGGAATTATAATGCTGCATGCACATCCATTTTCCAGATCTGGTTTTTGGTGTGTGCCGACTAGTGTTTCTTTATCTCCAAGGAAGAAAAGGACGATCCTATCCTCATTGGCTAGACTGGCCACCTGTAGGAAACCCTTTCTGTGATGATCCCACAGCTCTGGCCCAGATAAACCATGGTCCTGGTGTGCTACAACAGGCGCTGTTGTCCCATAATGATGGTTCCTGGTCTGCTACAACAGGTGGTGTTGTCCCATAATGATGGTTCATGGTCCTGGTGTGCTACAACAGGTGGTGTTGTCCCATAATGATGGTTCATGGTCCTGGTGTGCTACAACAGGTGGTGGTGTCCCATAATGATGGTTCATGGTCCTGGTGTGCTACAACAGGTGGTGTTGTCCCATAATGATGGTTCATGGTCCTGGTCTGCTACAACAGGTGGTGTTGTCCCATAATGATGGTTCATGGTCCTGGTGTGCTACAACAAACGGTGGTGTCCCATAATGATGGTTCATGGTCCTGGTGTGCTACAACAAACGGTGGTGTCCCATAATGATGGTTCATGGTCCTGGTGTGCTACAACAAACGGTGGTGTCCCATAATGATGGTTCATGGTCCTGGTGTGCTACAACAGGTGGTGGTGTCCCATAATGATGGTTCATGGTCCTGGTGTGCTACAACAGGTGGTGTTGTCCCATAATGATGGTTCATGGTCCTGGTCTGCTACAACAGGTGGTGTTGTCCCATAATGATGGTTCATGGTCCTGGTGTGCTACAACAAACGGTGGTGTCCCATAATGATGGTTCATGGTCCTGGTGTGCTACAACAAACGGTGGTGTCCCATAATGATGGTTCATGGTCCTGGTGTGCTACAACAAACGGTGGTGTCCCATAATGATGGTTCATGGTCCTGGTCTGCTACAACAGGTGGTGTTGTCCCATAATGACGGTTCATGGTCCTGGTGTGCTACAACAAACGGTGGTGTCCCATAATGATGGTTCATGGTCCTGGTGTGCTACAACAAACGGTGGTGTCCCATAATGATGGTTCATGGTCCTGGTGTGCTACAACAAACGGTGGTGTCCCATAATGATGGTTCATGGTCCTGGTGTGCTACAACAGGTGGTGGTGTCCCATAATGATGGTTCATGGTCCTGGTGTGCTACAACAGGTGGTGTTGTCCTATAATGATGGTTAATGGTCCTGGTGTGCTACAACAGGTGGTGTTGTCCCATAATGATGGTTCATGGTCCTGGTGTGCTACAACAGGTGGTGTTGTCCCATAATGATGGTTAATGGTCCTGGTGCGCTACAACAGGCGGTGTTGTCCCATAATGATGGTTCATGGTCCTGGTGTGCTACAACAGGTGGTGTTGTCCCATAATGATGGTTCATGGTCCTGGTGTGCTACAACAAGTGGTGTTGTCCCATAATGATGGTTCATGGTCCTGGTGTGCTACAACAGGTGGTGGTGTCCCATAATGATGGTTCATGGTCCTGGTGTGCTACAACAGGTGGTGTTGTCCCATAATGATGGTTTATGGTCCTGGTGTGCTACAACAGGTGGTGTTGTCCCATAATGATGGTTCATGGTCCTGGTGTGCTACAACAGATGCTGTTGTCCCATAATGACGGTTCATGGTCCTGGTGTGCTACAACAAGTGGTGTTGTCCCATAATGATGGTTCATGGTCCTGGTGTGCTACAACAGGTGGTGTTGTCCCATAATGATGGTTCATGGTCCTGGTGTGCTACAACAGGCGGTGGTGTCCCATAATGATGGTTCATGGTCCTGGTGTGCTACAACAGGTGGTGTTGTCCCATAATGATGGTTCATGGTCCTGGTGTGCTACAACAGGCGGTGTTGTCCAATAATGATGGTTCATGGTCCTGGTGTGCTACAACAGGTGGTGGTGTCCCATAATGATGGTTCATGGTCCTGGTGTGCTACAACAGGTGGTGTTGTCCCATAATGATGGTTTATGGTCCTGGTGTGCTACAACAGGTGGTGTTGTACCATAATGATGGTTCATGGTCCTGGTGTGCTACAACAGGCGGTGTTGTCCCATAATGATGGTTCAATCTCAAGATCTGTCGACAAATTTCAGAATATAAAAACTGGGACTAACCTTGGCCTGAATGGCTGCAAGATCTCGCTCCATTGTACTCAGTCTGCGCTGCAGAGTCATCACCCCAGCCAGGTCATTGCCCAGCTCATCTGTGGATTCTATCACCTTAGCCTTCTCATGGATCCAGCTCTGAAATACAGACACATGACACCCAATGTCAGGCGAACATACACCAAGTATTCTGAGGTATTACTTTTAATATCTGGCCTATTTGTATTACTACTACTAGCCAGGATTTGCTGATGCAAATTCCCCATTTCTGGACTGTGAGTCTAAAGTTTCGTCAACCAGCTACTGAGCTGAATGTCTGGTACAACATTGTGAGCAGTGAATTTCATGTGGAATATTTTCTGTGTTGTGCCCGAGATGGCTTTGTGTTGTGAACTGCACTAAAAATGGCAAGCGGCTAACTGTGTTCAGAATGGAGTGTACTTATGCCTGATTGTGTGTACAATGCTGGCTTTCATAAATGACTGTTACCATCAAAAAATGGCTGCAAATCTTGGTGTGGGACTGTTAGTGTTGGCAAATGTGATAGTTACCTCATGCATTTACTTTGCATGCACGAGCTTCAAGATTTTGCTGGGACTGTCAAATTTTTCAGCAGTTTTCAAATGAGAACTTATGATGTGGGTGAAATGATAATGTGAGTGAAATGATAATGTGAGTGAAATGATGATGTGAGTGAAATGATGATGATATGCATTCGATGATTATGATAATGGGTGAAATGATGATGTGAGTGAAATGACGATGATATGCATTGAATTATTATGATAATGAACTTTACACAAACATGAAATTTATTAAGAGTTTAATAAGGATTTAAGTCAAGTTGATCAACTTTATTGCATCGTGCTTCATTCCAAAAGGTTCGATCTCTTTCCGCAGAATGGATCAGCTGCCTGTTGAGAATATCGAACAAAGCCCAAATTCTGTGGCCTTAGCGACAATCCTTGGGAATTTTTATAAAATCTGCACTCTCAAACTGAATGATGCAGCCAGTGAAGTAAACCCATGACCTTGTCAGGCAAACAGTTCACAAATTAACTAACAAGTAACCAACCAGTCATGAAAACTCCCCCTCCTTATGACTTTAAAAAAAATGCCGAATGAAAACCATTAATATCTAAATACTACTTACAATTGTTTCATTGCATTCAATGTTGAAGTTCTGGATGCCATGTGCAACGTTGATCTCGTCCCTCTTCTCATCAACCATCTCACGCAGGTTGTTCCATCTGAAACCAGGATACAAGCCATCAACAACACATCCAGTTTACTTTATATACATTCAAGCCCAGTAAACAGGTAGGGCTCAGCTAGCACACTTTCTGTGACATGCTCCTATACAATGCAGCCATATACATCAGTCGAGGCTGTCTAGATTGTCTCTGCTGTAGGATATACAGTACAGACTGCTTAGGGCAATCTCTGATGTGATGAAAGCCTGTTGTGAAGAACAATTTCTTAGGTACCTAATAAGTTCTCTACATCAGGTCTGCAATCTACTACTATTCTACTGCTGAGTTCTTCTCCTCTTCCTTTTCATGTTCCCATCTTGCTGCTGCTCCTTCTTTTTCCTTTTCTTGCTTGTTGTCCAATGTTGAGCAGACAATGAATCTCACTTCCTCCAGTCATCTGTTGACATTACTTACAAACCCATTTGTTCCCAGCTGTTTAAACTCTGCATTTTGTGTTACTCTGTTGTTTTTTTTCTAGCTTCCCTACCAATTATCTTTCCACATAAAGATCATTTTTCCTCATTTTAGAGGAATATCTTTTAATGAGCATGTTTCATCATGGAAGGAAAAAAAAAGTGGGGGGTGGGGTTAAACATGCTTGTTACGAGGCAAAAGTCTTTTCTTTTTTCCCCCCTATGGGGGCCCCAAAACCCCCCAAAGGGAAAAAACTTTGGGAAATAACTGGGTTTTGTAAGGGTTTTTCCAGTTTGTACCGTAAAAAAATTTCTAACTTTTCCTATCAATTATAATAAAACATTAAATTAAACCCAAAATTCCAGAAACCTGTCTGCCCGATGGGGGAAATGAACACTGAAAAAAAGGTTTTTCCCAAAAAAGCTGCAAATTTTTTTATTTTTTTTGGTGACTCCCATGTAAACATATTTTTTTTTCTTTTTTTCCCTTCACATTCTAACCCCTTGGGGTTTTCGTTGCTGCAGATATCCTCAGCTCCTTTTCGTCTCTTTTGATAAATTGGGCCCGTCTTTTTTCCGGGGGGAAACCCCAAGGCATTTGGGGGTCGGGTATTTTTTTCCCTATATTTTTGGCTCCCTTGTGATCCACCCCCCCATTAAACCTTTTTTGGGGGGCTGCGGGGGATGGCACCCGGGGACGCTTCCCCTTGATCCAAAGCTGGGGGTTTTAAAGCCCCTATGGGGGGCCAATTTTTAAAGACCTTGACCCTAGTAAACAAAACCCTTTAAAGGGGTATTTGGGGAAAACAGTAACTGAAGAAATAACTGCACAGGCCACCGACTGAAGTAACATTTAAGCACACACAAAAACCCACACAAAAAAGATACTGAAGTTAAAATCTGAGACAAAAATTTGGAATAAATCAAAAACCATTGAAAAAAAAATTAAAAAAGTAAGACGTTTTTTTTGTTTTTCCCTCTAGCCCCCTTTTGGGGCCTTTTAGCATCAGGCGGGTGTAAGGCTTGGTTTTGGACCCTTCAGGTTTTCCCTATACCAAAGCTGGTATTCCCCACCCTTTGGGAAATGTGATCCACCAATGAACTGAAAAGGAAAATTTCAATCAACTTACAAAATAAAAATGGGGGAAAAAAAATTTGGGGGGGGGGGTTATTTTTCTTTTTTTAAAAAAATGCAAAAAACCTTTTCATCGAAAAAAATTTTCCGACTCCATAAACCCCTTAAAAAGTTTATAAAGCGAAAGCGCGTCAATGAGTCTTTGTTTGTGAAGCTTGGCAAATTCAAGCAGCTCTTGGTAACGTCTGTCGATGGAAGTCAGTCGGGCTTGGACATCTGGTGATTCCCGGTCCTGTCAAGTGAGCAATGATACAACACAATGATTACAATTGCATCACAGATAAAACTCAATACTAGGGGCCAATTTTTAAAATTACAATGAAAGGGAAAAGGGTTTTTAAACAAGTCAGGGGGTTTTTTAACCCAAACCACATAAGGAGGGGAGGTAACAAGAGCCCACAGGCAGTAAAAAGGGGAAACAAATAGACCGGGAAATTTAAATATCCCCCGGGAAAAACCCCTTTTTAAAAAATGTTGATAAGATGGGCCCAAGGGGGTGCTGGACAAAATTTCCCACCTTTAAAAATTAAAAAAGATTGTGCAGGATAAAAAGGTTTTAGAAAAAACATTTTAAAAGGGCAAAAGGGGGAAGCTATAAAAATTATTGAATACTGAGGGTTTATGTCAAAGGTTTTGCTAACCAAAGGGAAAAATTAATAACAGATGATGGGCAGATGTGTGGCTGAGATGGCAAAATCAATACATAACAACATGTCCTTCTTCTGCGGCTGGCACACTGTTTTGTGGTCTACAGCTAGGCTGTGATACCTGCGCCTTTTCAATTTCAGTAAACCGATAATTTGTTCTTTATAACATATATTTTAGAGGGGCAGAGGATCTATCCCCCCCCCCCTCCCTCCCCCAGGGGCTTTGGGGGAACCCTGTGGAAAAAATATGAAAAAAATATACCCATCTGTTAATTTAAAAACTGGTGAATTTAATTGGGGGGGGGGGGGGGGGGGGGGGGGGGGGGGTTTTTCTTTTTAATTATGTTCCTGGTTGCAAATTTGGCTTTTGTCCATTTCGGTTTGGGTCTTGTTCAGGCAATGGATGTTGGTCTCCAACTGCTCTCCAAGATTGGCTGCTTGTTCATGAAGTCCTTCTATGACAGTCTGGTAGCTCTTGATCTCTTCTGTCACTTCCTGCAGGTACAGCAATATACTCAATGATATACAGGCCCCAAATGACAAAACTATCAAACTGTATTACACAACAAAATCAACCAGCTCATAAGAAACAACACCTAAGCTAAGTCACAGGAGGGAAGCAGGCAGGGGAGGGAGGGAGAGAGGGAGGGAGGGAGAGAGAGAGAGACAAAGAGAGAGAGAGAGAGAGAGAGAGAGAGAGAGAGAGAGAGAGAGAGAGAGAGAGAGAGAGAGAGAGAGAGAGAGAGAGGCACACAAAACATGTTCTGTTATACAAGGCTAATTATGTTGCAGAAAACCGCCCAGTAATATTTTACATACTAAACCACCTAGTTACGTTTTACACAACTACCAAGTTACATAATTTTTTTAAAACCCTGTTACATGATTTAAATCCAGCTGGTTACACAACACAAAACCCCCCAATCACATTACATAATCAGCTGATACAAGTCCCTTAGGCATCTAAGCTGTGTCACAGAAGATCACCTTGATGAGGATTCACAGCTTAACAAATGTAGCAATTGTAGCCTTCAACATGATCTGACCTTGTGCTTCTTGAGTAGCGACTGGACGCTGGCTTCATCCTTGCCAACATCTTCACTGGACACAATACGCAGTGTGTCCATCAGCCACGTGTCCACGTCATCAGCATCAGTGAAAAACTGGAGGGGGAAAAACAAGAAAGTAATATTGTTTCAAAAAGATCGGATCAAGAACGGATATTGCACAAGCTGGATTTCAGTGAGAACACTTGAACACAAAAGTATGTGTATGATGTGTTATTCTAGTTTGCACATGTCTACATCCATAGACTGCATGCACTGAGTGCCTTCTGGTGTTGTCTATGGGAGCAGACTAAAGTACTGACAAAGCTACAGATAGATCATAATGTGGTCCTTTACCCAGACCAGACCAAACCTAGCGGAGCCTCTAATACACTAACTATGCCGCAAGCACTGTTTTCTTCTCTCTTTCTATGATAATGATACTCCAACCACTCAGTTCTTCCAGACGAGTTCTACATCATCTTTCCATCTTCTTCTTCTATGCCCTTACTATCCTGCACCAAGGACCTAAAGTAAAGAAAGAACCTTTTCACACACCTTGGGTTATAATATGATTACGGTGCGTGTCTTAGAATTTTGTTTTGACCAACAGGCACATGATGGTGATAAAGTCGATGTACTGGACTCCTTTACTTCCCCAAAGATCTGCTAGTATCCATACTAATCTCATACTTCTCATCTCTTAACTTAAAATGCGGTATGTTATTAGATCTCAATGTATACTCTTTCATTCTGTGGGTTCCACTGCAAATCTGGATTTACTTACTACTAGGAGGTTTCACTTTAAGGTGCATCAAACCTGGTTCCAGCTTCCCCCCCCCCCCCCCCCCCCCTAGCTTCTAATTAGCTGGAATTCGTTTACTTCTCTTCTTGAGTTCTGTAGAGATTCTATTATCCTATTGAACTTTTTCTGCCAAGTTCATGAATGTTTGCAATTTTTTACTGACTATTTTATTTGTACTCTGTATCTCCGAATGTTTAATCTGTACTCTGTGTCTCGGCTCCCTACAGCAGAACTGACTTCGTGTGAGAGTGAAATATTCTGAGTTTCTAAACACTGTGGTCAGCTACAGATACTGTCCACACTATAATCAAATACAGGTAACCAAATCTTGCAGGTAACTGACCACCTTCAATGGGAAGAAATGACTTTCTCCTTCAGTATCAAATGTTGACCCCATCACCCATCAAGTGCTGGTTAATCTAGAAAATATAGGCTAGCCCTATATGCCCAATACTGTTGAAGCTGTGCAAAAGGGTTCTTTAGTTTTTACTTCTTCTTCTTCTGCTTCTAACCCCCAATGGAGCACAGGCCCTCGACCAACTCACGCCAAGTCGTTCTATCCTTCGCTATCACACACAGCTCTCCCCATGTCCTCCCCATCTTTTTAACTTCTCTCTAGCTCTCTTCTTTATATGTTTTGTGGTCTTCCTATATTTCTCTGCCCCTATGGGTTCCAGTACAAATGCAATCTAGTTACATTGTTTTCAGGTTTTTTCAATGTGTGTCCCATTCAATGACAGGGTCTTTTCTTCACCCCTTGGTCTATGGAAACCTTTTGTTTTCTACCAAAGCTCTACACCAGTGATTCTATCATACCATTAATTACCTCTATTCTCTATAGGCGCCAGTTAATAAATGTTTGTAGTTTATTAGTAATTGCTTTAGTTGTTCTCCGTCTTTCCACTCCATACAACAGTACTGATGTGACATAAGAATTACAAATGTGAAGTT